CAATACTTTGGCCATCTCATGAGAAGAGAAGACTCCCTGGAAAAGACACTGATGTTAGGAAAATATGAAGGCAAGAGGAGAAGGGGACAACAGAGGACAAGATGGTTGGACAGTGTCATTGAAGTAACCAATATGAATTTGACACAACTCCAGGAGGCAGTGGAAGATAGGAGGGCCTGGCGTGCTCTGGTCCATGGGGTCACAAAGAGTCGGACACGACTAAACAATACATATTTAAAAGAAAATACTGCGGCATAGAGAAGTGGTTTACCTTTCCCTTCTTCTAGGGGTGTCCTGGAGCTGGGCAGCTTGTCCAAGGCTACACATGTTGGCTGTTCTCCTGGGATACACACTGGGGAATTTAACTCTTCATTGGCTGCCAATCTGTTTCTGGGCCCAATTCAGAGTGCTGGTTATTACCTATATAGCTTGGGTCCATTATATTTGACAGATCATATCACTTCATATGAGCCTTCTCAACTTTAAAGATCGTCTGAGGGGGTCTACTCTCATTTCCACCATCTTCCCAAGCTTGCTTGGTAAGGGCAAGAGAGAGGGTCTTCTTAGTGGCTGCTCCCAGGCTTTGGAATGCACTGCCCAGAGAAGCACGTTGGCTTCCTCTTGTCCTTCCATTGTCAGGTAAAGACCTTCATCTTCAGACAAGCCTTTAAGCAGTAAGTTATCTCATGAATGCTCATTCTTAACTTGCAGGTTTTAAAATGTTTTCAATTGTTTTGATAGTTGATTGTTTAAATCTTAATGTATGTTTAATTGTTTTTAATATGATGTTTATATATTGTTTTTACATTTCTTTCTTCATCTGTTATGAGCTGTCTTGGGAAAAAACGCTCACCAAAAAAAAATTAAAAAATCACAGCACAGAAACATAACCCCCCGAAACCCAAACCCACCCTGCAAAACCCTGTAAATGTACTCACCCAGAAGCACAAAGCAGCACCAGGCAGTCCGAAACCTCTCTGCAAATGCGCGCACACTAACCATTGGGGCGAAAGAGCTACAAAGAAGCTCTTCACTGACCAACAGTTAGTGCTGTAATTTGAATTTCCCGACTTTTTTCCCTGCCTTTTTCTGGTTGTAACTCGAAGCTCCAGCTGCAAGTCGAAGCAAAATTTTGCAATTGGAGCTGGTAGCAACTCGAAATGGTCGTATGTCGAGACATTTGTAAGTCGAGGCACCACTGTACACAGTAATGGGCAAGGCGCCTTGGCCTGCAAGTTAAACCAACATCTGATAGCCTTACTTAAAACAGAGTAATTTTCCATGGAGGCAGTTGACACATTAGGCTGCAAGAAAGTAACGAATGATCTGGTTGTATCTGTCTGTGTCTAATCAGTCCTTGTATTAATTTCATCTTAAATTAGCTGCACGACACTCTAGGTAAATTTAACCTACTGTGTTGTAGCTTCCTTGGCTAGACAAGCACCAAAGGGTATGCTCATTACCAGAGAAAAGGGAATCACCAGGCTGCCAGATAGTTTGTCAGAAGTCATGACACACGGAAATGGTGATAGCTGACCTTTGAAGCAGATGTATCCTGTGATCAAAGATTTGGACGTAGAACTTCTGATGACACGTGAATGAAATCTTTATAGCATTTAGATCCCTAAATTGCACATGACCATTTATTTATTTTAATCCACAACATCCCATATCCTGAGCAAGAAATGGTTTTTATATCATTTCATAAAGCACTGGGGTAGTGGTGACTTTTAGTTTATTTGATATTATGGAACTAAACAAACTCAATGTATGTCTGAGGTCATTTTTAATTCATTGGTAGCTAATGCCAATGAAGCAGTAAGACAGCAAAAATGCACAGAAGGAAAATAGGGTGGGTGAATTGGGGAGATTCTCAGCATTACTGTCCATGACACACTGTGACCTGGTTCCTATTTCTTCATGCTGGTTCAACATTAACCCAGGCTGATCTGCAGTAGCTCTTCATCTGCCCTCTGCAGAACTGGCCTGCAGTTCAGAAACCCACACAATGGGACAAAGCAGAACCAAAATGCTGAGGACCCTTCTTCTCACCAGCCTCCTGCACATCAGCATGGGCTATGACAAGGGTAAGGGACTGATCAAGCACACATATGGTGGGAGAATTGGGGGAGGCTGGAAAAAAATATGGCTTGATTATTTCTTTTCCCTCAGATAGATAGAAAACTATCCCAAATCAATCAGAGACGGAATGTATTGAACTCAGTGGTATTTCTAAATAGACACAAGAGTGCTGTTTGGTTGGAAGGAGAGAATCCAGCATTCTTTCTGAAGGCCTCTACCCCCCTGGGAAAGATCACACTCTCTTTTTGCTCTAAGAGAGAAAACAACCAGCTTTTGAAAAAGGCAGCCAGAAGCATAGCAAAGAGGAAAGGGCAACTGTCTAGAGACGTTTATGCCTCTGCGTATGAGACATTTACCTTTTGAGGGTCCCGGCTGATTTTTCGCAAATGGTGTAAAGGAAAGACCAGAACAAAGATCCTGGTGAAATCTCTCTTCCTGGGCCACTTCTTACTTTCCAATGATACTTGAGGGTGCACGCCTGAGTACAATGAGGGTGGGGGGGAAAGAAGGCATGTGATCTTTATGCAAAAGCCCAAAACAAGAGTGGGTAATCCTTCCACCCATATTACACTGAGGTTATACTAGAGTGAATTGTGAGTGTTTGAGCTTGTCTGTGTTTCTTGTCAGGATTTTAGTAGGGGATTGGGGAGAGAGGTTGCATCATCAGTCTCTCTTGGCTCTAGTTCTCAGCATTAGACTCCTGGAAATATTCCAAGTATTTCTTCAGATCCTAGAATACCCTTTCAAGGAGACAGTATGTACAATAGAAAGAGGGGGGGGCAGGATTTGACACCTTCCATGCCCAATGCTATTCTTTTTCAGGAAGAAAGAGGGTGTGCTAGCTTGTCTTCATTTTCAGCTCGCAGGGGCTGAGTTGTTATCATGTCTTTTGCCTGACAACTGACAAAAGTGTATTGCAGCATCTTAAAGGGTAACATATTTATGAGGACATCAGTTTTTGTGGACTTGAGTCAGCTTTGTCAGATGCTGATAAGAAACCTTCTTGTTAACCTTAAGGTGGCACAAGATTGTTTCTTGTTTCTGTTTCTTGCTTACAAAATAGCCAGTTACATTTTTTTGTCTCACTGTCCTCCTCCGAAGCCTATTGCTGCAGTGAGATTATAAATTCTAGTAACTCTATGTGCAAAATAAAGAAAATCAATGTCCCAGCATGTTACATTTGAAGGGGAAAACAAAAGTTCAGACACTGAGGTTAAACAAACAGTGGGCTCAGTTACACATGGAAAACAAATCTGCTTTTGAAACGGGGTTAGCATGATTCAAATCGATTTTCAACATCCCAACTGCATGATGTACAGGGAAGCACAGGATATTTGGCCCACAAAGTGTGTGGTTTTGGTTGAAAAGTAAGGTGTTTTGCTTGGCTGTGAGAGGGTTGTTTATTTTAAATCACTTGTGAAATCGATTTGTTTTGAATTGTCTTGGCATATATGAATGCCTCAGTTAGTATAAATTGTGTCTGTGGGTTTGATAAGTAATGGATGCCAGGAACACCATATCAGCAGTGGCTATTGGCTGTTAAGTAATGGATGGGTAAAGGACAAAGCCTCAAATACAACAATTCTAAAAGCCTGTGTAACTCCCTTGATCGATATACAACACAGTTTTAAAACAGACTAAACATTTTGCAAAGAGGACTCACACACCAACTCAAAAACCACATTACTACCACGTGACTTTAAACTGATTTCAAAAACCCTCATCCCTCCCCTGATTCGTTTTCTTGGTGTAATTGCACCCAGACACAAGTATGCACTACCAAAGATGCTGTCAAGACATGTGTGAGGGCTGAGGAAGTAGGACTTCTTGTCCAAAGAGGAAAGAAGATGTGAAAGCGTGTGCCCAGGAGAAGGATGCACAGTTGTCTACAAGAATTAGGATCTGGGCAACAACCCTGATATTAAATTCAATGAAATATCTAATCCTGCCTATTAATAGGTAAAAATTAAACAAGTTATTTTTACCAACATGCGTTCCTATCAATGTTGTCAACACTGGATCTTCCATTAATATTTGACTATTCCCAGACATAGGATTACCTGATCTCTGAGTACTGACTGAAATTTAATTAAATAGTTATGCTGCTCATGATCTCAAGGCAGGGAGAAAAATTGCAAGGTGAATAGTGCTGGTGGAGAAAATAGTTTCATGTTTATGTGGATCTGATGTGAGATGCTTTTGAAGCCTGGCCATCCATCTCCACTCATTCCCAGCTAGTGCAAGGGCTGTCACTGAGGGTTTGTCCACATAGAAGCAAAATCACCTGGTTCAGCACAGTTCCTGTTGGTAATGTTTTTTTTCTGCTGATCAAATAACACAAAGCTGCATTTCACTAGAGCTCTGCCTTTCTCCCTACCTTCCACATCTTTTTGATCACTGGGAAACTGGGATTATTTTGAACTTGGATTTGTTGTGGGGGTGGAGTTTAGCTCTACAGAACTTCCTGCAGAGTTCATTTCCATGTCAAAGATTCCAGTACAGAAACTTATGTCACCCTTTAATTACCTTTTAACATTGAGAGGGATGGATTCTGAAGGTAAAGCTCCAGGGAGGAAGAAGTTTATATGATTTTTTTTCCTGGGAAGCCTAGAGGACCTGGCTTTTGTGATGCAGTGTAGGTGTCGATCTCACTAAGCCCTGTTTCTCTCTGGGACAAACTGTGCATGCTCATGCTTATTTGCTGCAGTACTTTTGCCTATCCAGACAAGCCCTAACTGTGAAGATGCTTGTGTACATTGCTCCAAACAGCACAAGGGGCTTTTTAGAGTACCAACACTAAACCCATTGTGTCATTTGCTGCGAGCTAGAAGTGGAGCACCAGCATCACAGCTCACAAAACTTCATGTTTCGCAAGTCACAACAGCTGTAGTGTAAATCCTGCAGAATAATTCCTCCAGTGATGTCCCGATAGTTGTCTTCAGTGCCACTTAGTCATCACCACCATAGTCTGATGTTTTGGCCTTGAAATCACGGAGAGTGGGACGATACTGACCTGGCAACCCTAACTTTTATCAAATATTTGTAAACAATGGGGTGTCTTTCTGCTGTACACTTCCCAACTATTCCTGTTTCTTAGCCTGTTAGAGAGAGCTTTGGTATTGTATTATTATAAAAAAAATACTTCCTGACTAAAATAAGTCCTCCCCACTGGAATCTCCTTCTCACTTCTCCACAGTTGAGTTTCAAACTGTGAAGGAAGATTAACTCATTGACCAGAATCCTCCTGGGGTTCATGTAAGGTTTGAATAAATTGCCTTGACTTTGGTATACCTCTGTTATACAGTCAGTTATCTGACCAGATACATGGCCATAACACACCCTGGCATCTCAGTTACCCACAGTTAGCCATGGCATGTTGTGTACACCTGACATGAACACTAAAAGGATTCCAGAGAAAATTAGAAAATCTTGTTAACCTTAAGGTGGCACAAGATTGTTTCTTGTTTCTGTTTCTTGCTTACAAAATAGCCAGTTACATTTTTTTGTCTCACTGTCCTCCTCCGAAGCCTATTGCTGCAGTGAGATTATAAATTCTAGTAACTCTATGTGCAAAATAAAGAAAATCAATGTCCCAGCATGTTACATTTGAAGGGGAAAACAAAAGTTCAGACACTGAGGTTAAACAAACAGTGGGCTCAGTTACACATGGAAAACAAATCTGCTTTTGAAACGGGGTTAGCATGATTCAAATCGATTTTCAACATCCCAACTGCATGATGTACAGGGAAGCACAGGATATTTGGCCCACAAAGTGTGTGGTTTTGGTTGAAAAGTAAGGTGTTTTGCTTGGCTGTGAGAGGGTTGTTTATTTTAAATCACTTGTGAAATCGATTTGTTTTGAATTGTCTTGGCATATATGAATGCCTCAGTTAGTATAAATTGTGTCTGTGGGTTTGATAAGTAATGGATGCCAGGAACACCATATCAGCAGTGGCTATTGGCTGTGAGAGGGTGGATGGGTAAAGGACAAAGCCTCAGATACAACAATTCTAAAAGCCTGTGTAACTCCCTTGATCGATATACAACACAGTTTTAAAACGGACTAAACATTTTGCAAAGAGGACTCACACACCGACTCAAAAACCACATTACTACCACGTGACTTTAAACTGATTTCAAAAACCCTCATCCCTCCCCTGATTCGTTTTCTTGGTGTAATTGCACCCAGACACAAGTATGCGCTACCAAAGATGCTGTCAAGACATGTGTGAGGGCTGAGGAAGTAGGACTTCTTGTCCAAAGAGGAAAAAAGATGTGAAAGTGTGTGCCCAGGGGAAGGATGCACAGTTGTCTACAAGAATTAGGATCTGGGCAACAACCCTAATATTAAATTCAATGAAATATCTAATCCTGCCTATTAATAGGTAAAAATTAAACAAATTATTTTTACCAACATGTGTTCCTATCAATGTTGTCAACACTGGATCTTCCATTAATATTTGACTATTCCCAGACATAGGATTACCTGATCTCTGAGTACTGACTGAAATGTAATTAGATAGTTATGCTACTCATGATCTCAAGGCAAGGAGACAAATCGCAAGGTGAATAGTGCTGGTGGAGAAAATAGTTTCATGTTTATGTGGATCTGATGTGAGATGCTTTTGAAGCCTGGCCATCCATCTCCACTCATTCCCAGCTAGTGCAAGGGTTTGTCCACATGGAAGCAAAATCACCAGCACAGTTCCTGTTGGTAATGTTTTTTTTCTGCTGATCAAATAACACAAAGCTGCATTTCACTAGAGCTCTGCCTTTCTCCCTACCTTCCACATCTTTTTGATCACTGGGAAACTGGGATTATTTTGAACTTGGATTTGTTGTGGGGGTGGAGTTTAGCTCTACAGAACTTCCTGCAGAGTTCATTTCCATGTCAAAGATTCCAGAACAGAAACTTATGTCACCCTTTAATTACCTTTTAACATTGAGAGGGATGGATTCTGAAGGTAAAGCTCCAGGGAGGAAGAAGTTTATATGATTTTTTTTTTCCTGGGAAGCCTAGAGGACCTGGCTTTTGTGATGCAGTGTAGGTGTTGATCTCACTAAGTCCTGATTCTCTCTGGGACAAACTGTGCATGCTCATGCTTATTTGCTGCAGTACTTTTGCCTATCCAGACAAGCCCTAACTGTGAAGATGCTTGTGTACATTGCTCCAAACAGCACAAGGGGCTTTTTAGAGTACCAACACTAAACCCATTGTGTCATTTGCTGCGAGCTAGAAGTGGAGCACCAGCATCACAGCTCACAAAACTTCATGTTTCGCAAGTCACAACAGCTGTAGTGTAAATCCTGCAGAATAATTCCTCCAGTGATGTCCCGATAGTTGTCTTCAGTGCCACTTAGTCATCACCACCATAGTCTGATGTTTTGGCCTTGAAATCACGGAGAGTGGGACGATACTGACCTGGCAACCCTAACTTTAATCAAATATTCGTAAACAATGGGGTGTCTTTCTGCTGTACACTTCCCAACTATTCCTGTTTCTTAGCCTGTTAGAGAGAGCTTTGGTATTGTATTATTATAAAAAAAATACTTCCTGACTAAAATAAGTCCTCCCCACTGGAATCTCCTTCTTACTTCTCCACAGTTGAGTTTCAAACTGTGAAGGAAGATTAACTCATTGACCAGAATCCTCCTGGGGTTCATGTAAGGTTTGAATAAATTGCCTTGACTTTGGTATACCTCTGTTATACAGTCAGTTATCTGACCAGATACATGGCCATAACACACCCTGGCATCTCAGTTACCCACAGTTAGCCATGGCATGTTGTGTACACCTGACATGAACACTAAAAGGATTCCAGAGAAAATTAGAAAATGAAGCAATCATACAAGCAAATAGGAAAACAAATAAAAAGAAGGTTGGAAATTTTTGCAGAAAAGTAAGACCTACATGTGAAGTGACTTCATTTCTTTAAAATAAAAAGGTAGTACCTGAGGACTAGTAATTTGACATAATTTTAATCCCTTCTCTTGTAACATAAGACAATCAAGGTATTTAAGGTGCAGGCAGTGAAGCACGTTTGTATTAATTTCAGATACTGTATTGGGAAAAGTAGCGTCACAGGAATGTAGACTTAGAAGTTCTGTTGGGTTCCCAAGACAAAAAATCATATAGCTAAAATGTACTGATAACTTGCCATGTCCCCCTGTGTTTGGTGTGGCTTGCCTTGTGGAAATTCCTGTGTTTTTCTTTGCAGTATCTTTCCACTTCAGGACAAGTGCAGTCTATCCTGTATTGACCTCAAGTGGGCAACATGTGGTTCTTCAGATACTACTGAAGTTCAATTTCCATCAGTCTTAGATAGTACTGTATAGAGAGATGATAGGATCTGCAGTTCAAAACCTTAGAGATGGCTTCCTCTAGGCCAGTGGTGGCGAATCTTTTTGGGCCCGAGTGCCCAAACTGAAAAAAATAAAACAAAAGGGGAACCGGAAGTGGCGGCGAAAAGGGGAATCTCGGGCATGGAGGTGCCTTGAGAGCCCACTCCGGATCCACCGCCAGCACCAGCTGCTCCGGATCCTGGCCCCCCACCTGTCAAAGCACCAGCACCATGGCTGCAGCCACCTCCTGAGATTTGGCTGCGGGGGGGGGTAGCGATCCGGCGATTTATGGCTTGCGTGCCTGCAGAAAGGGCTCTGCGTGCCAGCTGTGGCACACGTGCCATAGGTTCACCATCGCTGCTCTAGGCTCTATAATCTGGACCACAGTCGTCTAGCATCATAAAACATTATATTGATCTATTTTTGGAAGATGGGGAATGTCACTGAATTAGTAATTAACAGGAGAGGACTGGCTTTGGGATTCTTGTTGCCTTGTGGTTCTACTTATTTGGGGTCCTCCAGATGTTTTTAAACAGTTGTTCTCACAACCCCTCAGCACTGGCTCTCTGGGCTAAGCTGGTGAAGCTGTAGTCCAAAAGTGTCTGGAGGGCTATATCAACCTAAAGAAACCCTCCAGAAAGGGAATTGCTCTCTTTCTGGTCCACCAGTGACTGACTATTTGGGTATTTTGTTTTTCCCAGTTTTTCTTGAGCAGAAGCAAGCGCTCTCCATGCTGAAGCGCACACGTCGAGCCAACAAAGGATTGCTGGAAGAAGTGCGCAAAGGCAACCTAGAACGGGAGTGTCTGGAGGAAATCTGCAGCTACGAGGAAGCCCGTGAAGCCCTTGAATCAGACGTCCAGACAGTGAGTACCATTTGACATTCCTGCTGCTCACAAAGCACCTGTTCAAATATTTTAAGAACCAGTGGGATATTTGTTCTTGCTGGTTTCCCAAGTAGGTTTCTAATTATTTCAATTCGTTCAACAGTTCCACTTGAGATATTTGCATCTCATTATACCAGTAGACCTAGTTTCTGGCAGCAGACGCAAAGACAACTGAGTCTTCTTGCTTTTTCTTATTGAGACTCATACCATGCTTTGAATGAGTTACCTCTCATCAAGGAAGTTTACAGGATGAGGCCTTTGCCAGAGAAACAAGTGTCATTTGATGGTTTACAATTCTCTCTGGCTATTATTCCTAAGCAAGTGCTTTTGTTTTGCAGGATTTATTCTGGAGTCAATACACAGGTATGTTTGCCTGCATCCAGTCAAATTAAATGGTTTACTTTATTGCTAAACAATCATTTCAAGATTTGGCTTGAAATGAGAGTAGGAATGGGAGTAAGAATTGGGAGTAGGAGTAATCTGTCCCTAAGCCAGTCACCTGGTTGACTTTAGCTACTCTAAAACAATGCTTGCATCCCTTAATTCCCTAGTTCTCATAACTATACTAGGCCTTGGGTCTCTTGGACTGAAAAGTCCAGTTCCACCAACTCATCCTGACTTGTTAGTTGCATTGCCCATACAGTTAGAGGCTCCTTTATCCACGAGGACATTGCTAGGGTCATGCACTCTTCCCACAGTCATGTCAGTTACTTTTCCATAGTTTTGTCCCCTAGTTTTCTCTCTCTCTGCTACTGGTCCCAGAGTTTCCTCCCCACTTCACATTTCCAGCTTTTTCTTTATTGCAGCACTACATACTTTCATATCTAACCCTTGGCCAAGTAGACTTGTGGATGTTCCCTGCTCCTTGTGTAGAAGTCTTCTTTCTTTTCTGGTATAATATTAAGTCCTTTGCCACACCTTTTGCTCTTCACTATTCACCTGTCCCTCAAAGAACACAGGTATTCATACTGAGAAAAGAAGTGTGTGTCTTTCACTCACAGTGGCAGCAGAAATACATGCACTTTATCATGTGCTTAATTCTTCTAGGTTACAGTGGAACAACTCATGCATCTCCCAGGGTTGGTCTATAGCTCTCTCAGACTATTGGCTATGAGTTTAAGGATTAATAGGATTTTCAGTCCAACAATATCTAGAGGGACATAAGTTTCCCATCTCTGTTCCAGAGATTCCTAATTTGCAAGAATGCTCTACCTGTCTGTTTCAATGCAGAGGGCAGGGAAAATAGAAGCTTATCCCTAACACAGTGTTGCCAGATAATGGGGTCTTTTGATTTTATCCATTCCTCCTCCACAATTGTTTGGGGAAACCATTATAAGAATTACCGGCCATTTTTGCAGAGATTGAAATGTTACTTTTTAGATTACAACTCCCAGAATTCCTTTGGCCACAATATTACATACCCTGAAGCCTTCTCCGAGTTATATTCCAAAACGCTTGCAGAGACCTCCAGTGCCTATATGCTGTCCAGCAGATTCTGGGAGGTGGGATCCAGTAAAGTATATCTCCCAAGCTCTGCACTTTTACCCTGATTGTTTCTAGCTTTCCCAAATAAGTTGAAGGTCATTTGGAACTGCTTAACTTTGTTCTTCTGTTACTAGTTTGTAACCATCAAAGGAAGCCCATTTCCCTGCTGAAGGAGTGCTTAAAAGGTAAGAAGCTTACAGAACATTTTTGTAAGGGCATGGTGGTGGTGATTGCAATGAATGTGAGAGGAAGTGGTGGGAAGGAAGGATTACAATGGAAAGAAGATCATGTCTTTATTCATTTATTTTTTAAAAAACACATAAAACAAAATCCTACAAACCTAAAACATCTAACAACACATAACAACAACAACAACATTGCTAACATCACCATTTAAGGATAAGGTAGTGGGTCATGGGGGGGGTGACCTTTTCCTGCTCGAACTCAAGGGAACTGCTCCCTGATGGAGCTGCTGTAAACCAGCACAGCTACATAGCTGGGTCAGTGAAGAGCATGGCCCTTTGCGCTGTACTGTACGTAGACGTGCCTCCTTGACAGGGGCTGGACTTGGTGTGGATCCCCCCCCCAAACCAGGACCATTTAAAGATACAGTATAAGCAATGTTTCCTCCTAGAGTGCCCCTGTTTCCTTCCAAAATTGCATTGACTCTTGGGAAGGTACACATCCCTTCCCCTTTATAAATATAAAATCAATAAATTCTCTTAAATATCTATTAAATTATTCTTGCATATCAAACCCTTATTTACTTTTCATATTACATGTCAACTTATTAATAGCTACATCTCAAAGCTCTCTATACTATTTGTTTAATTGGAGATCATAATTTATTTTTCAGTTACTAACTATAATTAATATTGCCACTGTTAAAAAATGGAAAAATTAATTATTTAGTTGTCCACTGACACTGCTCTCTATTAAAAATTGATAAAAGCACTATTTTATGACAAACCTCTAAATTTTACTTAGTTATTTCATTTATCTCTTTGAAAAGAGGAGAGGCACTTGTTCAGCAGGCCGAGGCAAAGAAGCAGTCCCGAAACCAGCAAAATCAGGGAGCTGGACAGGGGACAGATTGTACAGTATTTGTCTTCAGTGTGGAAGGGATTGTCACTCTTGAACTGGCCTTCTCAGCCACACTAGACACTATTCCAAGACCTCTATTCCGAGCACGTTGCCATAATCTCTTGAGACTCAAGGATGCCTACTCCTTGAAAACCAATTGCCAAAATTTCAATATATTCTCACATTACCACCTGATATAAAAATAAGTACCTTTTTTTACATCCTCTCCAACACAACTTGGATTAATTAGCATCTAGTTTTTTTAATTGCACCGGAGTTAAATGCGATCTTGAAACTAACTTATACAACTTTTCCTTTACCTTTACATAAATCTCAATATTATTTCCCATATAGTGTATTTTTCCAAACTCTGGTACTTATTTCTTCATACAAATCATATTCACATAACATTTGAAGCATATCCTATTTATCTTCTGCCTCCAATATTTTATACATTTTATTTATTGTCCCTTTCATTACCTTACTTTCATCTCCACTTTCTTTTTGTATACAATTTCTTCAACTTTTGAAAGTTCCTTGCATTTACATTTCTTCTTTTTTTGAATCATCTGTAGTTGGATCAGAAGCTTGAAAGATGGTTGTGCTGGTTATGTTGAATTCCATGTAGTCTGAGTGATATTATTTGGTCAAATATCGCGTTATAGCTCATAATTACTTATGCTATGTTTCATCTCATTTTGAAAACCACACAGTTTATCATTTTCAAGGTAAAATGCTTTGTAATTGTCTGAATTTAAATGTCTTATTCCCCTTTACAGTACTTTAATTCACCCCATTTGAGTATTGCCATGTTTAAATGTCAATTTCTTGTTTTACTGTTCAAGCTTGTCTTGGTTTATGCTTCTCATGTTCCATTATCCAATTATAAGCATTTGTCAGCATTAGAATATCCTCTTGCCTCTGTGCACATCAGCAACCAGATGTATTTTTGAGTTTAGTCCAGTTGCTATTCATACTTCCATCACACCTCGCTAGTAACAAGTACAGTGCATGGAGAGGCTCATCTTCGAGCACTTTCTCTTGCTTCATTTTGGATGCTCTCACCATAGGGTTTTTGAAATATATTCAAAAATGATTTACCATTATTTTCCTCTAGGCAGTAAACAACAGGAGTTAGCTTGAGTGTCTCCGTCATCATCACTGAAAGGCCTTCTGCTAGTGGCTCTTTCCACCAATGCTGCTGCCCAGCAGCTGCCCTCTTCAGGAGTTGCTCCACCTCCATCACCACTGGAAATATGCCTTCTTTTCTGCTGATGCAACCTTTGATTCCTGAAGAAGGCAGATGTGTCTTAGTCTGGTGTCTCAACTTTGATCAATCTGCCTTGGGTGACCCTGCCAGGATTCCAGGCTTGTAATGGAGTCTAGCCTCTTAAAGGCATTGACCCTGATCAGCAGATTTCTCTGACCAGATCTCTGGAGATGCCAGAGACTGAATCTGAATTCTTTATCATATAGGACATGTATCAGCCCAACTGTCCTGTCTGGAACACATGCACACATGCACACATGTGCACACAACCGCCCCGCCCCCCTATCATTTTGTTTAGGCCTTCTGATGGGCACATTCTATTCTTAGATCTGATTTTGAGGTGGTGCTTTTTCTGAGTGAATAGTTTACTAGTCTCTACATTTTAAGTTTGTTGCTAGTGGTACTACTGATGCTTCTCTTGGCTTTACCTGCACCTCTTTGGGAGCCTTGCTAGCTGAACTGCAGGAAAAAAATACTGAAAATAAATGATGCATGTGGGCATAAAGGCCTGTACATGGATTGGTTGCTACATGCATGTTGTCCATCACCTGATGCCTCGCTGCATGAACCGGCTTCTTCACATATGGCATTGTTATATATGTTCATTATAATAGCCGTTTTTCTGTTGCCTAAACATGAAGTGAAAGGATAACTGCATAAACATCCCTTCCCCTCTGGCAAGCACCCCATTTCATGTCCATTCTTGACTGATTGAAGGATTGGTCACATGATGTAAATCATGTCGGAGCAGGCGGGAAATGTGATTCACCTTCCGCTGTGCATTTGACAATATTATATTGCCCCCTTTTTAATTGTGGAATGCTGCTATATTTATTGTTTTTTATGGTGTGCTTTAAAATGTATTTGAACTGTTTCCTTTAAATATATATATTTTTAAACAAAAAAATAAACAAAGAAAATAATATAACATCTAATAAGCAATTATTATCATACTGCACACACAGATATCACGGACCCGGTTGACCTCTTACCCTAAACAACTTTTTGGTCTAATTCTGCAGAACTCTTTTTATGTTTAGACTTATGTTTTATGATTTACTTCCTGAGAATGGTCTGTAGGCCACAAACAGAGTTTGCCACACCAAGAGTACCTCCTTGGGAGAGGCCGTGTTGCATGACTCCCTTGCACCTCTTGGTTCTCCTGCTATATTAAATTATTCTTGCTTATCAACCCCTTATTTACTTTTCATATTACATGTCAACTTATTAATAGCTACATCTCAAAGCTCTCTATACTATTTGTTTAATTGGAGATCATAATTTATTTTCCAGTTCCTAACTATAATTAATATTGCCACTGTTAAAAAATGGAAAAATTAATTATTTAGTTGTCCACTGACACTGGTCTCTATTAAAAATTGATAAAAGCACTATTTTATAACAAACCTCTAGATTTTACTTAGTTATTTCATTTATCTCTTTGAAAAGAGGAGAGGCACTTGTTCAGCAGGCCGAGGCAAAGAGGCAGTCCCAAAACCAGCAAAATCAGGGAGCTGGACAGGCTTGCCCCTTCCCCTTCGTTAGTACAAAACGGATACATTCTCCCAATATATCTGTAAATTCATCCTTATTTAATACTCTCTTCTTAACTTTAATATTACATTAGCTTATCATTAATAGCTATATCCCAAACTTCCCTATACCAATAGGAAATTATATGTTGTTTTCCAGTTCCTAGCTATAATCAACCTTGCCACAGTCAACAAGTTGGAAATCAATTCTTTAGTTGTCTGGCTACATTCCTCCTTTTCAAATATTGGTAAAAGCACTATTTAAGGATAGACTGCTAAATTTAATTTACTTACTCCATTTATTTCTTCAAAAACCAATTGCCAACATTTTAATATAGTTTTGCATTCCCACCACATATGAAATTAAGTACTTGCTTTTGGGAACTTACTCCAGAACATCTTAGAATGACTAGCATTAATTTAATTTAATTTCACTAGAGTTAAGTACCATCTCTAAACTAACTTATAAATTTTTCTTTTATCCTCACTGACATAGATTTTAATATTCTAACATGCCATATATTTTTCCAAATACTGGTACTTATATCTTCCCTATAACATATTTTAATTAGATCTTCCTGATTTTCTGCTTCTAATAATATTTTGTAAATTTTATTTACTGCCGCTTTAATTTCCTCATCTTCATTTGCACTTTCCTTTTGTAATATATCTTCAAATTTTGCAAATTCCCTTCATCTCCCTTTTCTTTGTACTAAAGATTTTGTTCATTTCTGTTATTGAATAATACTATACCAATATATTTTATCCATTCCTATATTTGCTCTTCCCGCCAACCTTATTTCCTATTTTTTTCTAATCAGTCTTTCATTCTAATAATTTATCCTTTTCTTAATTAATTCTCAAACCAGCCTTTCAAATTTTCTGCGAATTTCTCCAACTCTACCATCAGATGTAATGGAGGAAACTGGTGGAATAAATATCTTTCTACATCTATTCCAAATTAAAAGCATATTTTAAAGGAAGGATTTTCTATATATTTACTATATTTTTATTATCTTGTGCAAAAATAATATTTAAAGGGTTCAACTGTAATTCTTATATATATTCAGTCAAATTAGTTTATTAAATCGAGCTATTATGTTCAACATATGTCTTCATTGACTGGCTACAGTATATAGTATACATTAGGAAGTCCCAGCTCTCCAGCAATTTGAGATTTATACTATCTCTTTATATTAATCCTTGACTTTTTATCTCCATTTTTTAAAAAAAAAAACTTTAATTTTGCCCATCCTTTAACTGTTCTTCACTTATCTTCATCAATAACAACTACTTGTGCCCAGGGAACAATCCCTGTCTTTATTTGGGGGCCATATATAACTGTTTAAATATTAGCCGTGAGGGCTTGGCATGCTCTGGTCCATGGGGTCACAAAGAGTCGGACACGACTAAATGACAATGACAATCTAGTCTCGTGTCTAAAGAAGTGGACTTGTCCATGAAAGCTCACATTGAAACATGGCAGTTAGTCTTTAAAGTGACACAACCTTTTTATATTGTTTTTATTTATTTATTTATTTTTGCCTGACATCATAAATATAAAATTTATCTTAGATAAAATTTTCATTTTGCATACAGCGCTGCCAAACCACACCAATTTTTTAAAAAAAGGATTTTCAACTGAGTCAGTACACATATTCATTTGTATCTTCTCAAACAGAGAGCAAGGGCAAAACAAGATGATACACTTAGCATGTGATTAGAAGAGATCTTCTGTGATAAGAAAGAACAATAGGATTTCTTCAGAGATGCATACTTCCACAATCAGACTTGTGTATTAATCCCATGTTTACTCTGATGGCCAATCACAAAAAAAGCATGTTGGAATACAAAATATGGAGGGGAAGAAAACCATTTGTGAGTCAAACAGCTGTCTTCTAACACTTAAGGGAATGAGGATTCTAAGTGCATATTGACCCAAATCCTGTGGTTTAGCATAGTCAACTGCAATAGAGTAGACCCACTAAATCACTGAGTCAACTCCTTTGTAACTGCTTGATTGAAATGGGCTTACTCTAGTGTGATTTACTACACTAAGCAATAGGATTTTGGCCATTTAATGTATTGTCTAGCACCTGACGTCGAGTTTTGAAAAACTGATGCCTGTGATGGATTCTTCCCTATAGCAATCCATCTACATTCACGTTTGAAATGGGATGCCTTTGATTCCTGGAACATGCCACTAACCTTGCTTCATTCCCTTTTGTATTTTGTGCTCTCATAGGCGACTGTGTCCAAGATCAAGGGCAGAATTATAGGGGAACCATTTCTGTCACCAAGTCAGGAATTGAATGTCAGTACTGGTCCAGCAAATTTCCTCACAGGCCTGAGTAAGTTTTTTATTTGTCTCTTACAGACACAAGGTGCCAGTGTTTGGCCTAAGACAACCCAAAGACAATTTTATCATTCTGCAGATGCACAGATGGAAGGGAATATGGAGGGCAGGGAGCATTTTCCGAGAACCGTTCTAGGTCTACACAGGGCAAAAGGAAAACATAATGGGCATGACTAACACATCACATGTCAAGAAGGATCAATCCTTAGACAATCCAAATTCTTTGCAGTCCACAAGGCTCTGTGGCAGATGTTGGGGGTTTCTAAGAAGCCTGATTTATTCATCAAAAGTGTTTCCTGGAGGCAGAACATTTGAAAATCACTGAGGGTCAAATCACCTGTTAATGTGTTTCCTGCTGCTATAGCATTTTCTCTTCAGGTATGCAATTCTCCATATCGGAATAATCAGACTTTTAAATGAAGCCTGTGTTCACCTCCCATTGACCAATAATGAAATAAAAGCAAGCTAATATGGAGCATGCAGAATGAAGCAAGGTGTACTAGGATAAGTAGATATATTAGGCCTTTTCATGGAGCTTCACTTCTGATGACATTCTAATTCTGTTGTCTAGTTTAAGCCTAGGTAGCAGAGAAGCAAGATCACACTGGGGGAAATCTACAACCTGTGTGCACAGGCATTGTGGTCTATGTGTGTTGGGACGCCAGGCTTCATCACAATATATAGTGAAATGTGGACATGTGGGACTGCTGTATGTGACTAGCACCAATGTATAAAGTTCACATTTTTTTTCTCCCATGCTCTCCATGTTGAAGAAATACATCCATTGCAGTGTGTGGCCCTTGGAGGTGAGAGAGACGTCTCTCTCATATTACACATGTAGTTGTCAGAAGGCAGCTTTGCTTTCCTTTCTTTCTGCCCCTCTTCTGCTATAGCTGTGTTTCTTTCAGGTTCAATGTGACCACCTATCCAAATGCCAACCTTATTGAAAACTACTGCAGGAACCCAAACAACCACTCACTCGGCCCCTGGTGTTACACCCGCAACCCAGTTGTGCGAAAGGAAGAGTGTGCTATTCCTGTGTGTGGTGAGTCTTGGGCATGGGAGCTTCCTGCTCAACTCAGTTGGGCCTGCAAAAGTAGGCATGGCGTTTCCCTTTTAAAACCTACTTAGCTGTGGTAAGGGAAAGACACCTGTAATGTGAATGGAGGTAACCTGCCTCCTACGATTCCTCCCATGGCACGTGGAGGCTCAATGTTCACACTCCAGACTTGAGCACTGGTGAATGTTGGCCCATGTTAAAACTGGTACCTGATGTAAAGGAGCTGTGGGCGTGGGAAGCCCACTTTGAAGGATGGTATCCTCACACACAATCATGAAAGCTTTGCAAGTGTGAGTAAGCAATGCTATCTGGATGAAACACTGGTTTTATAATAGGATTGGCTTGCCTGAGGTTGTCAGAGTTGGATTTGTTTGTTTGTTTAAGACGACAACTCTCTGGATCCCTTATCACCATAGTCCATGCTCATGTTGGCTGGGGGATTTGGGAAGTTGTAGTCCAAAAAGGGAACATTTTCCACGCAGTAGATAGCATTAGCTCTAAAGGAGTGCGTGATTGCAACAGGGAAAACTAATCTGATGAATGACAGCTATACTGAGCTACTTTTTTTCTAACAGATGAGCTGTATTTTCCTAATATTTGTGCTTCTCTTTCCCCTATTCCTCAGGGAAGAACTGGACTACTGTTCCTGTCTCTCCAAGACTCCATCTACAAGATACAGCCCCGCCGCAGCAGCAGCAGCAGCAACCATGCGTACCTGATAAGGGATTGTTGTATACAGGGACGCTCTCAGTCACCCTCTCTGGAGCCCAGTGTTTGCCATGGAACTCGGAAGCAGCAAGGCAGCTTAGCCATAGAACACACTTTCTGCCAAGTGTAAATCTGGTGCAGAATTATTGTCGCAACCCTGACGATGATGATGAAGGTGTCTGGTGCTACATAGACCACCCCAACATGACACACGATTATTGTGACTTGAACTATTGTGGTGAGGAACAGCCTGCAAGAGACAGGCCTGTATTTTTTTTTACAGAAACAAGAGAAGTCTCATGAGTGTCTAAGATGAGATGGGGGAAATGCTACATCGAGGAAAGTCTAGGTCTAGTCATGTAGATATGCTGTTACGATTTCGATTTCGAAACCTTTATTGGCATATAAACGGACAACAACAAAACATAGGTACAAGCCAAGCGATGATCAGAGTAAACGTAAAATAGGGGATACACTCAACAAATAGTATCATAGGTAATGGGTTAAATTGGAAATTTCCAAAAGATATCTTGCAACGGCAGATGTAATCCGCGGGCAAGAATCATTCAGGAAAAAGGATAGGGAGTTGGGCAAAAGAGAAAGCCACGGTTCGAGAAACAGCTTTCTCAGAGATGAATGCGCCGGGCAATGAAATAAAATATGGTCCAGGGAATCTGGGAGGGTATGACAGAAAAAGCAGAGCCTATTTGCACGGGGGATCTTAGCGAATCGGCCTGCATGAACCGCCGAAGGGAAGATATTGAGGCGAATATTTGAGGTGTTAACAGAGGTACAATTCATTTTTCCATGCATAAGACTAGAGGCAGAGCAACCGTAAGTATGGGTGAGGGGATGTTCTGTGATCTCACCACAAAAGCCTGAGCATAGTGACTGTGGACTGTAGTAGCTCCAGGGCTGCTGTAGTTTGGATAGTACCCTGTTTCCCCAAAAATAAGACCTAAACTGAAAATAAGGTAAAGGTAAAGGTTCACCTTGACAATTTTTGTCCAGTCATGTTCAACTCTAGGGGTTGGTGCTCATCCCCGTTTCCAAGCCATAGAGTCAGCGTTTTGTCCAAAGACAATCTTCCGTGGTCACATGGCCAGTGCGACTTAGACAGGGAACGCTGTTACCTTCCCACCGAGGTGGTCCCTACTTATCTACTTGCATTTACATACTTTTGAACTGCTAGGTTGGCAGGAGCTGGGACAAGCGATGGGCGCTCACTCCGTCGCGTGGATTCGATCTTACGACTGCTGGTCTTCTGACCCTGCAGCACAGGTTTCTGCGGTTTAGCCCGCAGTGCCACCATGTCCCTTAACTGAAAATAAGCCCTAGTATTTTTCAGGACGCTCCTAATATAAGCCTTACCCCCAGAATAAGACCCAGTTAAGTGAAACCCCGCCCTCCACCCTTGTGCAGCAACTGGAAGAAGATGACAAGACTGTATTTGAACAAATGTAGAGTGCTGTACATGAAAAAAAAATAAAACATCCCCTGAAAATAAGCCTTAATGCCTTTCTTGGAACAAAAATTAATATAAGACTTCTGTTGTATTTTCGGGGAAACATGGTATTTAGGGGTTGAGGAAATGCGATAACTTTATTTTCTTGCAGACTTTTCCCAGCATGCCCTGTTCTGGCCCCTGCCACCTACGATACACCTCAGGTTAATCAGCAACTATAGTAGAACTTTCTGTTACCACACTAGAAAGATCTTTTTTCATGTAGTCCTTCCTTATTTCGCCACGGAGGAAATGTTGAGCATCCCATGGCACCCCAGCTGGCTTTCCAGACAGTATGGAATTACGCCCTTGATAGTTCTTGTGATAACCTTAGGTTGGGAAGTAGATCTAGCAAGAGAATAGTTAAAGTGACTAGCAGTGATGCCCTGCTCATGCCTACTCAGAAATAAGTCGCCACAGAGTTCAATGGAGCTTCTTTTCACTTAACGTATTCTATAAAAGTGAGCCTAGGGTTGCAGCTTGATCTTTCTACAAAACAAACTCCTCCTTCCTCACTGTGCTCTTTCCTCTCCACTGCCACCAATCTTCTCTTTCAGAAAGCTTTTTGAATTATGCAGATGATGTGGTTGAAGACCAAATAGGAGGCCGGACTACAACTGTAGAACACAGAACCCATTTTGATCCTAAGACATTTGGTGAAGGTGAATCAGGTGAGAAATAAGATCCCACTTTCCCACCTCCTCCTCCATCTCCTTTCTTAATGCAGAAAATCCATTGAGAAGGAAAAGGCAAGAAATCTGCACATGCCCTCTGAATAGCTAAGAGCCTTCAGTTTGGAAGCACTTTCATAAAAATTTGGAAAGAATAGCCACAGAATGTTTGATTATCTAGCTGGCCCCTGAAATGTAGATGCAAATGTGGTGCAGTGGTTAGAGTGATGGCCTCTGGAGACTTGGGTTCAAGTTCCCACTTGGCCATGAAAACTCATAGGAGAGGTGGCACCGTTAAAACCAATCCTTAAATGTCTCACTTACCTTGGAAACCCTATTAGGATTGCTATAAGTTGGATGTAACTTGATGGCACAAACCTTCGATACTTTTGTGAATTTGTCTAAATGTTTTTAAACTCATGGAAGCCCTCAAAATTATATGTAGTTATATGTAGTTTGTCCAGCATCAAAACTGGTACCCACATATGAACTCTATTAAGATAAGAGGTTTCAGCTCAGACTGGATGAGACAAACAATTCCACATTTAGAAGCAGTGTTCCCTGAAGTGATGAAAACACCATCTGATTGTTTGAACAAGAGCTTTTCTCATCTTTGCATTTTGCAAATATCTTGGTTTGTTTCACAATCTGCCATCAAGGGACAGCTTCTTTTGCTAATCTGATTGTTTGGGCATGGTGCTATGAAGAAATTTAATTACTGAAAGTCACTTGTTGCTCTCAGCTTATAATTATATGCTCCCTGCCTCATATAGTTTGATACCAAGAATACCAGCCTGCACAATTCCTGATCAAGGAGTGGCAGTCTTGGCGATAAAATTCCTGTTGCCTTTTTCTAGCAGAAAAAAAATTAGCTTAGGAAAGACAGGTCCTTATTTGTGAACTGGGCAATCAAAGATGGATGGGGCTATGTTTACAGAATGTGGTATCCGTCCCTTATTTGAGAAAAAGAAGATCGCTGATAACACTGAGCATCAGCTGTTGGAGTCCTATCTCTCAGGCCGAATTGTGAAGGGATCTGATGCCGACTTAGGAAGTGCACCCTGGTAAGTGCTGTAATCAGATTGTGCTTATATTTCTTCACATTCATGTTAACTGTTGACTAGAAACATTTAGGCCCATTTCCCCTGCCTGTGCACTTCCTGCCACCCTGCTTCTTTCTGGCTGGGAAAGGGAGTCCCTGCTCAATCCAGTCTTCGCTGGAGATTAGAGCTCCTGGAAGCCCCAGGGCTTTCTCCTCTACCACCTTTTCATCCCTAATGAGAAGAACTGATTGACAAAGGGACAGACGCATCCCTGACGTCATCCAGCCTCCACAGAGCAGCAGGGAGAGAGTTTATCTATGCACCCCATTTTAGTTCCCCAGCTCCGATGTCAGGGCTACAGAAGTAGAATTGGCCAGTCCTTGTTAGAAGGCTGCATCAGGAAGAAGCCTGTGCAACATACATTTCTGCGCTGCTCCTCTTCTATGTACACTGGATGACACCAGGAACTAGCGTCCCCTGCAAAGGAAAGCATTGCAAATCATGTGAGGACTGGACGGGGTTGTTACATGCAGATTGGGCTCTGCCCTTGGGAGAGTTTTACTCAAACAGCCCTGGCTGGGTATGACTGTTTTCCTTCTGGATTGATTCCAGGCAAGTCATGCTGTTCAGGAAGAGCCCCCAGGAGCTGCTTTGTGGGGCGAGTCTCATCAGCAATCGCTGGGTCCTCACGGCTGCCCACTGTATCTTCTATCCACCCTGGGATAAGAACTTCACTACAGATGACCTCCTTGTACGGATTGGCAAACACAACAGGAAGATGTAAGAGCTCAGAAGGGAAACAAATGAAACCAAATGCGACATTGGCCATAGGTTATAACACTGTCATCATATTTTTCCCATTCTTCCAACTGGTGAACACAGACAGAAATGCAGTCTGGGAACACAGAATAGTATGCTATTGGTTCTAGGAAAAAGCTTTCCAAAACCAAAGGGCTGTACATCCTTATTAAACTCTAAGAACTTGTCTCTGGCATACACTCCCCCTTCTTCTTCAGGAAGACAGACATTTTGGGAGAGCAGTGGGTATAAATGTTTGGGTTTCTTTCATTAGAAATCACTGAAGGCTCAGGGAAATGTAATGTTTGATTTTATTTGCAGATATAGATGTTGTCTGCAAAGTTTTGGGACCAGTGGGAACCTCTAAAACGTCAGAGTGTCTTAGGCCCGGCCACAAAATGGCTGTCAAGCAAAGTGCCAGATTACAACATGAGTGCGGCGATGGGCGCGCAGGCAGGGGGGCTGTCCGCTGGGCTGCCCACTAACAGCCTCCTTCTAGAGAAGGAGAACGGGTAGGAGAGGCCCTGCTATTGCCTGGCTGGTACGCTTAGGGAAGCCAGTCCAGAGGCTAGCAAAGAGACCAAAGGGCTGGCAAGGACAGCTAGGGGTGACTTCCTGCAGACTGAGGAGGGAAAAGGGGGAGAAAATCACCGCCAGAAAGTGCTTCCAGGAGCTCTTTCTGTATCTCGACCTAAAACTGGAGAGAGTTGGGGGGGAAAGGGGTCTGTCAGAGGCATGTACTCACAGGACTATTTTACAGGGAGACAAACGGGAGAAAATGAAAATACAAACATGTCAATTCACAGAAATGCAGCTAACTACACCCTCTTCAACCACCATCGTTTTCTGTAGTCTACCTCAGCTCCAGCTCCCTCCTGTGATTGCTTCCAAGTGGCTCTGCCATCCCCCTATAGTTTGCCCCTCGAGGCCCCTGCTTACTTCTTTGCCCCCTCCAGAAGACCACTTTCTTGGGCAGCTCCTCCTCCAGGCTGGCAGGTGCCTCACAATCTTTTCAGGCCAACTTGCAGCTGCCCCCTTGCCCACAGCCAATCCCTCCTAGCTGTCCTTTCCAGACCTTGGGTTGGCCTGCCAGCCTCCAGATTGCCTTCCCTAGGCTGATCAGACCAAGGGTAGCAGGAGGAGAAAATCCTGTACCCCTTCGTTCTCCTTCTCCAAAAGGAGGGTTGTTAGTGAGCAGCCCACCTGAGAGTGCCCTGCAGAACAGACGGTCTGGCCTGCAGCTGCCAACTATTCTCATTGCCTAAAACGGTCTCCAAGTCCACTTGGTTTCCATGGGAATTCTGGGTAGAGGAAAGGAAAACTGTGGTCAGCTGCACTCCAAGTGCCTCACTTTGCCCAATTATTTTTGTTTGAGCTAGGAGGAAACGGAAGACCTTAGTGGCTAGGGGAGGTATGCATGGGCACCTCCTTGCTGGACCCCAAGCATGGGTCCAACGTAGCACTCCAGATGACGAGCAAAACCATTGCTTTTTCTGACCTTGCAGAGCTCCCCGACATCATTCTCTGTAGCTCAGGGGCACATTTGCACTGGCCTTTTTGGTGCAGGATGGTGCCATCATCTAAAATAGGGTCACATGAGGTCGGGGAAGTGATATGCCATATGGCAGGATCCTTGTGTCCAGATGACATATTGGCCGCAAGCAACCCCCTGGCTCCTTCCATTATCAGTTGCTAATATAACACTTTCCCTTTCGATTGACAATGTTCAGCTGAAAAAAAGATGAGACACATTTAACAAACAAACAAAAAAGGAAGGAAGCTAAAAGAAGGTGGTGAGGAGGAGGCAGCAAGCAAGGGAGCCCCATGTCTCCTTCTGTACTGGAAAAGGAAGAAGGGAGTAGAAAGAATAAAAAAAGAAAGACAAGCAGAAGAGAGAGGAGGGGCAAAAAATGTGGGCAAAAGGAGTTGTGTGGAATCCCTCTTCTTCCAGATTGCTGTGTGCAGGTGCACACACTGAGTAAGGCGATGCACAAAGTCGAAAGAGGCCACGTGGCTCCAATAGCCACTGAGACACTGAGAAGAGGCATAACATTGAGACCTCACTAAACCACCCATATGGAACTGAAATTGTTATTTTCACCTGTGCTTGACTGAAGGCACTTAATCACTTAGATTAAATTTAATTTTTAAAATTTGCCTTGTATGTAGTGCCGATTGAGAAACTGTCCACAGCCAAGGTTTTGACTGGAACTTCAAGTGCAGGCAAAAAAAAAGTTTTTATGTTTTTTAATCATGAAGTGATTCCACGGAACAGTGATTGTCTAGCAGTTTTTAAAAAATCATTTCACCTGCTCCTCTGCAAAGGAGCAGGGGAAGTGTTCAATTTGCTGATATCCTGAAGTGGCTCACTTATTAAGACATTTCATGATGCCAGAAGTTGACAGCAGAAGGAGCCCTGGGCAGCTTTGACAGCTGCAAGGCTTGGTTTAACTCTATTCCCAGCATCCAAACAGTGGGAACATACAAAACTAGAGTACATCAACTTGCACCAAAAAAGTATAAGCCCCTGACAGAGGCTCAAAAGGGGGCTGAGGTTCTCCAGGGGCCTATCAGTCTATGTAGAGATTGCATTACGTGATTGCCAGAAAAAAAAGAGAGCAATCCAATCAGCCCCCACAAGGCACCAAACAGTGGAGCAAATGCCCACCTGAACAATCTCCTGATTAGTTCTGAAGCCTAAACTGGAATACTTGCACAGGAGGGAGGGGCACAGAGTTGCATGTGCTAATCTTGCCCTTCAGGACAAGCACATGCAATTCTTCCCTTTGGCTGAATGAAACTGTGGTTGAAGACCTTTTTTAAAAAGATCCCAACAGTATGAAGAATTCCACTCATGTTCCAGTAAACTAAGGTAGACCCCCCCCCACTTCAGATCTTGTAACTCAACATGACAAAGCTAAGGACTGATGGTGGGGCCAACATGCACAGTCCCATCCCCTTACATGTTTTCTTAAAATTTCAAACTAGGTCTTCTCTCACACACAAAAATGGCATCCTGTATCCTGTGTTTCTTCCCTTATAATACGTGATTAGGAATTTTATTCTTTTATCACAATGTTCCTATTTAGGACCAGTTTAGTATGAAGCACACATTTAACAACCAGCTCCCATGGAAATCCATCACCGTAATCCTTGTAGTTTCCTGCACAATGGGGGAAGCGCCTGGCAAATTTGCCACTAGGTTGCTCCCACCGGTATTTCCGACTCTACCACGTGTCTCTCATCCAGTACTCCTATTTTATCTGCAGTAGGCTCACAAAGTCTTTTGTGAGGGAAGTTCTCTTTTGTCACCTGTGCAATGGTTGTGAGCAGGACATGCATGCTGATACAGTATTTGAACATTGCAGTTACTTCTTTCTTCTCTGAAAACCTTTAAGATATGAAAAGACCATGGAGAAAATTGTCCTGCTGGATAAAATCATCATCCATCCAAAATACAACTGGAAGGAAAATCTGGACCGGGACATTGCACTGTTGCGCTTGAAGAAACCTGTTGCTTTCAGTGATTACATAAAGCCAGTGTGTTTGCCCACCAAGGAGATTGTTCAAAGGTGAGGCGACAGGACTTTATTTTTGTGAGATTTCTTCCTTCGCGCCCCACGCCCGCTTAACTCCCCTTAGTGGGGAGAAGACAGGTTTTTCCTTGAAAGTTCAGTGTTTGCTATTGGTCTTTCTTCTGCGTTATCATCAAACATAATGGGAGGGGGCGAGGGTAACAACTTATTCTCCCAATGAGGAAAGGAATGGAGTCAACAAACAAGGGCTGCTAACAGGAAAGTCCTCTGTCTATTGGGTCTCCAGTCTGCTCCGTCCCAGATCACGAAAGTGTCCTTTTGGACAACAGCACTGACAACTTGGGCAGTGACTCTGATGCCCACCACTCACATTGCCTCTCAAGTCCACATGCTGTTCACTGGACACCCTCTGGTCACTTGGGGCAAACAGCTTGGTTCCTGTTGCCTCCATGGAGAACCTCCCCAGCATTTAATATCCACCAGTGCCTCTCCCTCTCTCTCTCCTCCTCTCCCTCCTCCCAATAAGAGGGCTTATAGGGGCTCAGTTTTCTCTTTGTAGAGCTGCTTCAGGGAACATTACTTGTTGCCAGGTCTTGGTCCAAGGGCTTAGTTTTCAGACCCATTCCTGGACTTCTGGAAGTTAGTCTTTTTCTTTCTCTGCTTCTACTATCCTGGCTTTTATACTCCTTTCCTTCTTTCTAAACTCCCTTGGTTGTTGCTATTATTCTTCCCACCCTTTTCCCACCTTCTGCCTCTCTTTTCTTTCTTTGTCTTGACTTTCAGCTCTGGTTTCCCAGGCTTCATTTGTTTTCCAGGGGAGAGGAGCTGGCCCTCTGATAGGAGGCGTTGGCCCTCTGTCCAGGGTCTCACAATTTTATATTCTTTTCTTTCTCCTGAAGACTGCAGAGCAGCTGGCTCATAGCTTCCATGGGAAAGGCCCAGTTGAAAACAATTTGTCCAGTTAAGTGACCTGTAAACCTGAGGGACAGGACCATCTAAACACTTCTACAAGCATAATTGACACTGACTGTAGACAGACCACCACCATTCTGGAGTTATTACTCATGAAATCTAAAGTGGGAGCATTTTTTGAAAAGGAAAGGTCATGAATAAATCTCCATTTGCCTTTCCTTGATCATCACTGATAGCAGGTTTAGAATTGCATCAAGTTGAAGATCTAATATGAGAATTCTCAGTCAGTTCCTAAATAAGGAAGATAAATCGAAATAGCAAAAGCAGAGTTCTGGAAAGGTGAGGTGACCGTCCACCTAAATACTACTGACTGTAAGTCAAAATTGATTTGACAGTACATGATTATCATTAGGCTGGCTGGATAGCTCAGTAGTTTAGATATCTGGCTGTGGAGCCAGTGGTCAGGAGTTCGATTTCCAACTGTGCCCCCTGTGAATACGGCCAGCAAGCTGCACAGTCCCAGGATGCCCCCAGAAGAAGAGAATGGTAAACCACTTCTGAATTCTCTACTTGAAAACCCTGAAAAGGGCTGCTATAAATCAGAATTATATTTCTGTTTCTTGGAAATAAGTCTTACTAGGCTTAACAGCCAAATCGAGCAGTGTAGAATTGATATACTGAAGAGTCAATCAGGGAAGCACTGGGATTTCCTTACAGAATAAGAAAAGGTATTTATCAATAATCCCCAAATCTAATATGAAAGGCCAAATGGCTCAAGTCTCGAAAGATTAACTATAACTCATCAAGAGCTAAAAGTCTGAAGGAAAAAAACTGATTTGTTCATAGTGAACCTACTGAACAAATAGAAGAGTACAGGGCATTGCTGTCTTCCACCAGTTTGACCCTCCTTCCCAAATGTTCTCAGAGGCAGAGAAAATATTAAAATAAGAGTGGAGAACATTTGCTTTTTAAAATGTTTTTCCATCAGCCTCATCCATATAGCCAAAGATAAGGTATTGTGGCAACTGTTGTTAAAAAGAAAAGAATATAAAGGGCCTAAAGTTCTCAATCACTGGATTAAACAGTGAAGGTTTTCTTCCTTTTCCCTTGCTCTGTGCATGATAATCAATCCAATGACAAATAGGTTTGCTACACTCTGCTCTCTGCCAGACTATACAGAAGACAACTGGAAGAAGGGCAAGTCATCAGTCTTTGGTTCAGATGGAATGGATGGGGGGAAAAGTATCATTTTAAGTGATCTATCGTAGACAGAGCTGAGATGTTTTCTCTGAGATGTTTTTTCTTTTTTTGTCCTGCAGCCTTTTGCTATCTGGATACAAAGGGCGTGTGACTGGGTGGGGAAACCTATTTGAGACCTGGAGTTCTAGAAGCTCAGCTTTGCCCAATGTGCTGCAACAGGTGAACCTGCCTATTGTGGATCGGGAAACTTGTAAAGCATCCACCAGCATCAAAGTCACAGACAACATGTTCTGTGCAGGCAAGTTTTTTAAAAAGGTTTTGATGTATTCATCCAAGAGAGAAGAAACTGGCAAGAAGTGGGGAGGAGCACATCCATGCATTGGGCATATTGAAGGATCAAATCAAATTATTTCAGGAACTCAGTCAAGTCACTGCTACCAAGGAAGAAAGGAGAGCTGGTTGCCTCCGTTAACTTCATTAGCCTTTAGCGGATAGATGGGACCCACCATGGACAAAAGACTTGCAGTGGAGGATAGAGATTTTTGTGCTAGCTAGAGTAGACCCACTGAAATAAATGCGATTTATCCATATGTTCTGGCATTTGATATATTAGGATTTTGTTTGTAAATGTAGCAGCAAGTTCATTTCTGGTAGATCTGGTTTTTAAAACCCCTGCATTCTTAGCAGTGTTGTTTCTGTTTTAATACTGTATAAATCCTCAGATAGACAGCTATATCACCTCAGAAAATATATGTTAACCATATCACTCAAATGTGATAATTCTATACTGCTATATCAAAATACAGTCCATCAATAAATTAATGTATTCTCATCAAGTACTATATCACTAATTATATTGCAGTGCATAACCCCATGTCTCAGCTGTAGTATTAATTAGTAGACAATTTCTTGTTTATTTGTCAATTTCTGCAATGTCTGATAATTCGAATGATTCACTGAAGGAAACTGGTGAGGTTTCCACTGTACTGCCCAAACATCATACTGGGAATTATACAGTGCTGCCACATGTAAAGTGAATCTGTCCTATGGGTCCCTCATTTCCAACATAAATCTTGTGAGAGCAACAATTCTGCTAAGCCATACGAGTACCAAAGCACCATATGGGGCAGGGCATGGGGAGGGGAGAGCAGCAAAAAATAAAATAAAAATAAAAATACATTGTTTCCTGAATTAACAGAAGGCAAAGATACATTGACTAAAGAAAAAAGTTAGCCCCATATGCCTAGATATCACACTTGACAACATACACTTTACACAAAAATTAGATGCGTGAAGGGTGAAACGGCAAGTGTGCAAACAAAGCAAACTCACCTTGGGTGGTTGTTTGATGAAGGGCAAGCACAGAGCTTTTGAGGTTCACATACAATAGAAGGAAAATAGAATGGGTTCCCTTCCAATAGTCATGGTTGCTAACCTTTCTGTTTTTTCTAGGGTACAGTCCTGAAGATACCATGAGGGGAGACGCATGTGAAGGTGACAGTGGAGGCCCTTTTGTCATGAAGGTATGTGTAATGCTTATAGCAATATAATAAATGGAAGACTCTTCTAAAGCAGAGGTGGGCAAGGTTGGGACTTTGTCCCCTGGGGACACGTGACCATCCAAAGCAGTTTCTGCAGTTGTCCCATTATACCCAGAGAGAAGAAAAAGCTGAATTGCTGCCTTAAAAAGATTTCAGGAGCAGCAATTCAGAGGAGACTCCGCTCTCCCAAACTGTTAAAAACCTTGAAGTAACCTGTTTCTGAAAATAGGAAGTGGACTTCCAGTCAGCAGTTTTTCTGATGGTTTTGCCATCTATGGTTTTTCTGCTCTTCCCAACAATATGTGTATGACCTATATGCCTTTTGCAGCTATTTCTCTTGATGCTCTTGTACCCTTGTCCCCTTTCAGCACCCAACACTTGAGCGGTGGTTTCAGGTGGGCATCGTCTCCTGGGGAGAAGGCTGCGATCGGGATGGCAAGTATGGATTCTACACGCATGTGTTCCGCCTGAGGAAATGGATGCAGAAATGTATTGAGAAGCACGGGCTTTAAAAGGAGTAAGCCTCAGCCATGATGCCTTGGATTGTAGACATGTGTATTAAACATTGCCGTAACTAAAAGCTGAAGCAAGGAAATGGTATCTGGGCACAAATGCCAATAAATGTTCTGGCCCACTATTCAGTTTTCTCTGGTATCAGTTGCAAGAAATAAAGTTTGTTCAAAGTAGACACAGTGTGTCTACACTAGTACTGTCACATCAGTACTGTTGCCAAAGTCAATGTAGTTGATGGAATAAGCATGTAAACAAATGCATAGGTCAGTCTTGTACATATTAATCTGAGGAAAACCAACCTAGACCTGTAAAACATTTGCAAGAGATTTTCGCTTCAGTCTAGGAAGCTGCAAATTGTGCAACTTATTCCTAGCATAATGCAGAAGTAAGGCTGCCTCTGACCTAGTTTTTTACTAACTTCAAAAGAAAGTTTTACACTTTTTAAAGGAAATGTGAATACTACCTACATTTGACCTGTTAAAGACGTTAAACAGAGAACAGCTGTATATGATTTGAAATGAAGTTTAAAGTATGTTTTCTTCTGTAGATTAAGAACATGCAAAAAATTTCAATATAAAAATATTTAAATTTCCAGTGCAGCTATAATTATGATTTTTTTGGTGTTAAGAGTAGCAAAAGGCCATCTTGCATCCTCTTTGTGGGGGGAGTGTTGCTGCAAGGATCACTACTTCACCATAGTTTAAACCAACAGCAGAGATAGTTGTGTGTAGCACAAAACCAATCCCCAAATCCATACTGGGGCAAGACTTTTATTAGACTACCCCAAAAAGTGCAAGCTTTTGAGATTACTATGTCATTGTCAAGCAAGATGTTACAAAAATGAACCGGGGCAGGGGAAGCAGCAGGCAAGAGAGTAGGCTTCATCTGGTAATGCAATGTAGTAAGTCTATGTACTACCCCAGGTGGAATCTGGGACACTGGCATTAAACAGTTGTGGCTCTTCATTGTAGTTGGCATCCTTGTTCAGATTATAACAGTTAAATTTAGAAAGGCCAATCACTTCCCAGGTTGTATTTGGGGGTGAGAAACAGAGATAAGAAACTACATAAGTTGTTTTCTAGATCAGAATCACTGAGGTGAGACGGTAAGGTGGTTTCAAGCAGCAACTGTTTGGTGGCCTCTAGGTGTGTTATAATGGCCAAAACTGTAAAGATCAGTGCTTTGGTACCTTGGTAGATGACTGCTTCTAATCTTCACTCAACTCAGGAATGGGGAAAAGCAAGCCAGGCAATGCTGCTAATTTAAATGAACAGACTGAATTAGTGATAAGTAGATATGAGGGGCAATAGTGCAACAGAAGCTTGTAATAGCACTTAGTGGGATGTAATTTTATTCATTCCATACTTGAAAAAGTCACAGTAGCATTCCTGCAAGTAAATCAATATCCCACAACTCTCTACAGTTGTTAATTGAGCCTCTATTTCCCCACTGAGTGAGTGAAGCTCCATAAGATACCAGGGGGAAAATGGTCACACTCCATTATTATTAAGTTACAGCATTCATACTCATTAAACATACTCTCCATACATATGATGACAAATCACTGCCCTCTCAACCATTGGCAAAGGAACTTCTTCTCCAAGTGTAGTTTTCACAGGATTATAAATGCGATCCAGGAACTGCAGAGAAACTTAATAGTAAAATGTAACATTTATTCAAATGTATGGTAGAAACATTTCCATTGGCTCTGGGTTAAGCTAAAAGTGGCTTAAACAGGGTATTTCTGAAACCAATATTGAAATGGCAAATAGTATCAAAACTAAAGCCACAGACTAGAGTGATGGGTATGGGGTGGGGGAGGTGGGTGAAAGCAACTTTTTTTTTAAGATAAAGCATCGGATTTCCCAGCAGCTTCACATCATTTTCGAATTCCATCTATGACACATACCTGCAGACTGTAATTCTGCCTGCCCATGCTTTACAAATCAGTGCATTTATTATACCCTCATGGTGACCATGCAGTTGAGGCAACAGCATTTAGTTCAAAACCTCTTAGGAGGGACAAACAGGAATCAATAAGCTGGAAAATGCTACAGAAACTCTGTGTGCTGAAGCAGCTTTTGGACTTACATCCTAAGAGGCAAACAAATACATAACCGATACACATAGGAACAGCACATCAGTCAGAAAACTCTCCACCATCATTTAAACTGGTGTCCTTCCACTGTCACAACATTTGATCCACTTCAGTGCACAAGTATTTTGAAAGCAGAGTCTTGAGCAACAGCCGCAACCCGTGGTCATACATTTACTACCACTTTCTAGCAGCTTTTAGTTGACAACAGAACCGACCATATGCAGAAACCAAATTAGCATATTGTAAGTATTTTTAGAACAATTCAGCCCAACCTGTATTGAATGTAAGATACTGGATTTCTACATTGCTGAAGTTCCAGTTCTCAGAAAGTAACAAAAAACCCCAAGTGTGTTATATAGCACTTGCTGGCTAACTATATTAAGATACTATGAAGAAGGGCTTGGAAAAACTTGTGGGACATTAAGCTGTTTTGCCTCTACCCAAACTATTTCTGAAGCCGTGGTAAGAGCAACAATATTGCTAAGAAAAATATCAAAGGCTTCTTTCACTGGAGCCATGTTTGAACTTGTAGCTTCTCAGCTTTTCTAATCTGCTGCCAGAATTTAGACAGCAGCTCAGTAGCATATAGAACTGCTGAGCCACTAGCAACTTGGAACATGGATAGTCACTCCCCACCAACAGTCACTGTTGCTCCCACAGAGAGTTAATGCAAACTTTATTTACAAAAAGACACTTAAATTAGTTACTTCATGCCATGCGTCCGTCCAGAAACAGGATTATATAAAGAAATTCACAAAATTAAAAATGAATCCACCAAAAAGCTTCTAAGAGTTAGGAGAGCTAAGAGAGATCAGACAATTCAACAAATAAAAACAAGTTATGAGAAACAGGACTGAGCAGGAGAATGGTTGTTTACAGCTCTGTACACTAAAACTACTACACGGACAGTCTTCTACAGTCAAGAAATGCTCACAGAGAAGCAAAGTATGTACAAAGATTTGTGCCACAATGACTTGGATCCTCCTCCAAGATCTGCTGTATTATACACAGAAAACCAGTTTGTATACATAAGGCCTACATGAGGCCACTTAACTATGAAGACTTCTAGTTTAGTAAACTAAAGATAGACAGCTTCGCAACAGCCACACTGTCTCACGCAATTTCACTTGCGACTGCTTTTTATTCTCTCCAGTCTTTTTTTCAAGTCATCGATATTGGATGTGGAGGAAGAAGTGGTAGTTCCAATGCCGGAGGAGTGGGTCTGATTGGAGTCCAGATCGATGTGCTGGTATTGTTCACGTGACTCGCGCAGCTGTGAAAGCTTACTGTGGAGCATATCTGTGGAGGATGCAACTGTTGGGAGTGATGGTTTGGACAACTGGGAGGTCAGCGGGGCTCTGTCTTCCTGCTGCAATTGGAGACAGTGTTGAAAAACGCTAACTCAAAAGGAAGACCAGGGCATTTTCTGCCATGCTTACTATATGGGAAGTATGCAGAAAGAGAACATATGTTGGTATTTTCATGTCTTTGGAAATAGTATATGGATTCTTATTCCTGCATCTGTTGTGCATTTTCAGATTATGACAGTGATATTTCAACTTTATCTGGCTTGCTCTCCAAATAATACTTTAGTCATGTACACTACATTTCACCTCATATGACCTTATTTTAAGATACATTAATTCACTGAAAGACCATCTGTGTCCATGTTAGGCATGAGACTTGAAGTATGTATGAAAATGCATTAGTTACTGTGGCCACAGTACCAGTTAGTATCCAGCAGTTCACCTGGCATCAGCTCAGTAGCATACAAGCAATAATACTTCTACAACTTTATCTATGCCCAGACTCAAATCAGGCACCAAAACTGGAACAGCAGTATTCATGCTTCAAAACTGGTTATCTCAACTTTTCAAAACACAAGCTATACATAATTTAGTTCATTATCACCACCTCCTTTAACACTGGAGACTACATATCATGGCAAAACTACTAGTTATGCAGTAATGTACTCTTTCAGCAATGCTGAGGAATGTGTGGCCATCCCAATGTTGTTGGAGTGCAATTCCCAATATGCCCTCCCCAGTGGCTTGTGGGCTCAGGCTGAGAAAAGGTGAGATACAATAACATTTGAGATCCACACATTTCCTATCCTTGTGCTGGAGTTTCTGCCATAATTCAGTCATCTTCTCAAGCAATCTCACGTCTGGCCTTTTCCTCAAGAACTAGTCCATGGTCAAAAACAAGCAAGAAAAGTAGTATGAACTGTTGAGTTAAGCGTTCAGGTACTGAAATTGCCCAGCAGTGTCCAGGGGACTGGAGAGGGGGGCTTATGATTTCATGGCAGGTGAGATCAGCAACACCCTTCCACTTCTGTGCTACCATGCAAGAAGTGAAAAAGCAGCACGTTAAGTCATGTCACTTGTGCCTTGTCTTTCCTAATCTCTATGTCACTTCTGAAGTGGACAGGCCATGTTCTGAAGTCTCTGTCCCCGCCCCCCCAAATGTAAGCAAAAGCCAAGTATTTTGGTAGTAAAGATGCACAGATACTTCCACCACAAAAGCAAACATGCTATGAGCATAAATGACTAGAGAGAATTTGAAACACCAAACAGACATCATTGTATACATAAATCTATTTAATACCTTTGCATTATCAAGGCCACATCGCTGTCGGAGGATTTTTAGCCTTTCTAAGTAAACAGAAGGTCCCACCTCTTCCCCATTTGAATTTCCTATAGATGAGGAGACTGTATTGGTGGGAGTGGGAATACATTGTACTTCCATCTGTGGAGAAACCCCTGAAAAATGAAAACACAAAATGAGTCCAAACAAACAGCAATCATCATCATAGGCATCCTTCAGTCTCAAGAGACTATGGTAACGTGCTCTGTATGGAGGACTTCGACACTGTATGCGAAACTGGAGCGTCCTCTCCAGAGCACGAAGCCTGGGTAAAATAATATGGAGGATAGGCTGTTACCCAAGCAGCAAATCCCCCCTTTCCACGTCGCTGAAATAGTCCAATGGAAATGCAAGAGCCAATACAACTGGTTCCAGCAACGTTTTAGGAGTTGCCAGAACGACACGAACTGCCTCCGGGACTCCCGCTCTGGATTTTGCCTCGAGGTTTACTCCTGAAACCTTTTCCATCAGTGGATATAGCCACAAGGCAGTGGAGGTTTGAAATCCGAGTTTTCCTTCTCTTAGCTGGGCTGCCTTTCAAGGCTGACGAGCCCCACCTACCCGGGACAGAACTTCAGTGTCTAGTTATAATGGGAAAATGTGCCTCGTACAGATAGGATAAGGCAGATTTTAACTTCTTAACTGTTAGAGCAGTAGGACAATGGAACCCATAACCTCAAGGGGAGGTTGGTGAGCGCTCCAACACTGGAGGCCTTCAAGAAAAAACTGGACCACCTTCTGTCAGATGCACTTTGATTTGGTTTCTTGCCTTGAGTTGGGGGTTGGACTCGATGGCTTTAGAGGCCCTTTCCAACTCCATTACTTCCAGCAGTTTGTAAGTAACTTTTTATAATTACCACCGACTTGTATCAGTTTTCCACCTAGTTGCTAAAGCATATCTATATGACATCAGCTGAAGTTGTAACTTAACTAAAGCTAATGCCATGCCTTCTGTTTCCTAGCTGCAACTTGTTATTCCTGCTATTACAGGGCTCCTCACAAGCAAAACCAGAATTTTCTTTCCCTCTGTGACATCAGCTGCCGGCAGAAAAGGATCTCTTACAGCAATCAAAGGGTGTGATATTTCTCAGAATCTGTCTGGTTTAAGAGCTGCTGAGATGCCACTCTTTCCAACACTCTTAAGGGAATTTCAAAAATCCTGTACTATATGGGATGAGTCTGCTGTGCCACTCCTCCCTTTGCAAGTATTTCCCTTCCTAAAACTGGAGCAGCACTGGCATGGGAAAGAGCCATAGCATGGATTGCTTCCATGAGATCTGGAGCTACTGTTGTCCTTTCCTTTCAGCAGTGTACAAAACAAAGCCTGTTCTGATAGATCTGTAGCATTCAAATGTCCAAATGAGTCCTTCTCAATTCAGAGGTCTTGACAGATATTTACATTATGTATGAGTTAATATGTCTACTGCTGTACTATGTGTAGTAAGCACATCAGGCTGTTTTCAACATGTGCCGTTTTGCAGACTACATGTTTTAGCCAGTATTTTCCTGGGAGAAAAAAGCATGAGTCCAACCCTCCTTGTGTGACACATGGAAATGAAACAAAGAAAAGCAAATCACAAATGACCCATCACCCAGGCTGTTGCTAGTTTCAGAGTATTGTGGCACTTTAAAGACTAACACTTACTTCAATGTGAGCTTTCACAGATGCATATCCACTTTTTTTTGTTGCATGCAAGTTCAAACTGAAATACTGTAAATCTGTGAGTCTTTAAAGCACCACATTTTGCCTTTTCATCCCCCACCAACTTTAATGTTGACAATGCACTACTTTTTTGGAAATTATAATGTGGAAGGTAAATCTTACTGATCTGAAACATGAACTGGAGATGAGACTGGATTCACTTGTTTTATATGACAGAGAGTTACTAGATTATGCCCAGTGAGATAATATTACACAATTGCCTCTTAATTTTAAGTCTATACAAATCATATCACCATTCTGGTCCCTTTTTAAAGAACTGGTGTAATATTTCTGAAGCCACCTACAGACACTACGGTACTTAGAAGCAGTCTAATACATCTATTAGAACACTCCACACTGCAACTGCTATGAAGTTACCTGTAGAGGAAGGAATGCGTCCTTTGCCTTCTCTTTCCATTTCAATCAGCCGGAGACCTCGTTCTACATAGCTCTGAAAGAACTGTGATGAGTTTTTTAGGAATGGCTCAATGTCTGCATCAGAATACTTCTTTTTATATTCATACAGCTCTGCTAGACCCTGCAGAAAGAAAACTCCAGTCAATCAAATGTCATAAAAGGCCAACATTTAGGCCTTCAAGCCCCAGGACGTGGCCAAACTGATTCTGTGGAGGTGCAGACCCATATTTGCACAGGAAGCTGTCTCATACCAAATCACTTCATTGGGCTATCTAGCCCTATACTGTACACTGACTGGCAGTGGCTCCCCTGGGTTTCAGACAGGGATTTTACCTAGCTCTGCTTAGAGATGGCAGGAACTGAATGTGGAACTCTCTACTTGCAATCCATTTGTTCTTCTGCTGAGATACAGCCCTCACCAAGAGAATGCATGCATAAAAACTTGTTGCTACTGGTTTCTCACCCATCTCTCATGGTGGGAAAGCCCTTACCTCTTTTGTGTTTTCTTTAGATCCAATCTTCTTAAATATCTCTGCTAGAATATCATTCACTTTGGCCTTTGGTGGCTTTTCCTCCTATAAAAGGAAGCAGAAGCGTAGTAATAAAACTCCTCAAATAAGTGGAAATTTAAGTAGCCAAAGCAAGAGAGTAAACATAATAAGAGAACACATCAGCGATCTTAAAACATATGCAAGAGCAAGAACAGCCATGGCAATACCTGCTGGTCTAAGAAAAATAGTGGATGGAGGAGTAACACATTGGGAAAGAAATCAAATAATAGCCATTTTCATCTGCTAGGTATGATATGCACTGTATCTCTTGTCAGAAGTTGTTCTAGTGCATTGCTACAAATAGTAATAGCTGTCAACACCATCATGCAGAACGACACATTGGCAGGTTATAGCTGAAGAGGCAACAGATACTGGATGAGACAATGCAGAATAAAGAAAAATATTTTCGTTCCATGTTATACATGGTCTGGGGTGTTATCAGATCAAGGACAATGGCATCTTTACAAACATGGACTCCCTTTATGTGCTTGGCTCAGTGCTATGTTTCAGCTACCACACAAGAGAGCTGATTCAGCCTTCTGCATGGTCCACAATAAGACAAGACACATACCAATTACAATTCAGAAGGATTCCTACTGTACTCCATAAACTGATCAGATTCTCAGCTGAGGGCCACTTTCTTTCAGTTTAAAAATATGGAATACTTACTATGCGAGAAGCTCCTTTTTCTGAGCCTTTATCAGATTTACTTCCAGTTTGGTCCAAGGAGTGTTTCATTACTCTGCACAGGTGAGCTTCCAACTCTGACTCATTCTTGTTATCTATCATTGTTAGATGATCTAAGATCTAAGAAAAATGTTGATAAATTTTAGAAAGAAACCTTACAATATTCTGCACGGCAATACAGAGGCTGCAGAGAAGCTGTCACCTCTCACCTTGGGTCCCTTGAGCTTACACAAGGTGTGAATCAAAGTCTTCAGCGTTCGTATTGGGAATTCACTCTTGCACTGCTTTAATTTCTCCTTGGGAAACACTTTCATAAAGGTGTGGATGTCCAACATGATTCGATCCAGGTTGATAGTGTTGATTGTTTCAGGAAGAAGTCTTACCATTCTCCATAAACACTGGGGGTAGGGAAAGTTTTTATAAAAGAAATCAGCCACCCAAGACAAACCAACTGTGTCCACAAAGCTAAAATTATCTGTGTTGAACATGACAGTGCTTCCTGAGTCAAGTGATAGGTAATAATTATCCCTTCACAATGAACAGTTTTGTTAGGTGTTAAGAAAAAAAATAGTATCTAACTAAGAGATGTTTAAGTTGCTGTTTGTTTAGAAAAACACACTGACCCATAACAAATTCACTATGTTGAAGGCTTTTCCAAGACAGCCAATGGGCATGTTTTTGAAAAGAAGGAAAAAGAAAAGAATTTACACTACAACAAGATAAGGTATACAGTAGGAATACAATTTATTGTATAGAAAATACAGTAAATTTCTCCTGGTAACGCATGATGGAATGAGACATTTATTATACGAGACCCAATTAGATATACTCACCTTCATTACAAGTTCTGAGAACTTGGGGGAGCTTGCAGTTGCTAACAGACTGTCCTGGAGTAGAACAAGCAGGGCACTACACAAAGTAAGTACAATAGTATTACATATACACAGGATCACACAGAGCTGATTCAACTTTTCTCACACTATGATGTATGTCTTGCACACTACAATTAGGATGTCAAGAATGAGCTTATCTACTTGGTCATTTCACACAGAAACTGTGACAAGTTTACAGATTTATACTCTACCATGGACAGATGTGAAGAACAAGCTTCCTTTGTCAGGGTGAGCAAAGATTTTATGCTGCCTAAGGCGGATAAGAAAATGGCATCACCCAAGTTTCTCTTACACATAATCACTCACACACATCCTACAACATATGTTATTCTTTCTCTCACATCATACATAAATTAAAACATATTTCGGATAGGATATATTATTACAAAAAAAAATTAAGTCATATCCAAACATAAAACCACTTTAAATGCACAGACTGCAACATTCTTTTAAAGCATGTATTCCACCTGCAAATTGATAACATTTGAACATTAAACATTCAGAAAAGGATTTCAGACCCAAGAGTTGAAATAATGCTTCAAAGCTATGTTTGTTGTACCCCACTACTAATTCTTACAAGTCTCCAAGAATTATTTGGCCAAATCTGCAGTCTCTTGAAAGAAGAATATCTGATCTTCAAAAGTAAAATGCAAGCTTATCAGAACAGACTATGCTATTATACCACAGTGAGGAAGGAAAGTATGCTGCACCCTCTGCAGAGAGGAAGTCCCTTTTCAAAAGTGTATTGGCTGTTTATTCCACAGTGTATAAGACCACATCAGTTGTAAAGTACTGTCATTTGAGCTGCTATTACAAATATAGAGCAAAATTAAACAGCCATTTCTGAATAATATCAAGCAATTTGTTCCCAAAAGAGCACAGACCTTGTCAAATGGAGAAATCAGCCTCTTATCCCTGGTTTTAAAAAAGTCATGATATTAGATATCTTTTGGACAATTAGAACATCTGCCAGTTCAACATTCCACACATTAATACTTCTGCCTTATGAAGATTTCTGCACTTTCAAGAGAGAGTAACTGTTTAATTATGTTCTCAGAGCTACAAACATCACAGCTCATGATGGGGAGTCTAAATTGTTCAACAGCTAATGTTTTACACTTGTTTCCACAGACAAAAGATAACCATACTGACTTAAACTTATTTTTCACCAGAAAACCATGTGTGTATGTGTGTGCAAGCACAAGTGTATCTGTTCTTTTTAGCTGCTTCCTGAAGAAACAAACACATACTTGGCAGAATGACTGACAACAAAAAATGCATGCCTGAAAGAAGATTCATGGAAAGCTTCCTGCAAAGTACAGTGTGGGTGGGTAAATTGTATGCTTCCTGGACCCCTCGACCATGAAAAACAGAAGAACAAAACCAGAAGTGGCCATGAATCCAATTAAGATTTTAACAAACAGCTATATCTTGGTGTTGCACACTGCATGGTGGCGAAAGAGAGGCTGCAACCTACTTAAAAGATGAACCACTGCCTTTGAAGTTTTCAAGTGCAGCAATTCACTTTCTTTAGCTAAGAAAAACTATTTTAGGCAGATGGTGGGTGCGAAGTTTGACAACTGGGAGACACCAAAACAGCCATGGTGGAGGGCCACATTTGGCCCCAGAGCTGCATTTTGTCCACGGAAGGTTTAATGACTGCTACACTGATCTCTCCCCTTCACGGATTGCTGCCTTGTTGTGGCGAAAGGCCTTGAGTAATTCAGAGAAGCTATGGGCTATGCCGTGCAGGGACACCCAAGACAGACAGATCATAGTGGAGAGTTCGGACTAAATGGAATCCACCTGGAGCAGGAACTGGCAAGCCACTCCAATACCTCTGCCCAGAAAACCCCATGGACAAAAACAAAAGGCTAAAAGATATGATGCTGGAAGATGAGCCCCTCAGGTCGGAAGACATCCAACATGCTACTGAGGAAGAGCAGAGGACAAGGACAAGTAGCTCCAGAGCTAATGAAGTGGTTGGGCCAAAACCGAAAGGATGCTCAGCTGCAAACGCGCCTGGAAGTAAAGTCCGATGGTGTAAAGAAAAATACTGCATAGGAACCTGGAATGAAGATCTATGAACCTTGGTAAGCTGGATGTGATCAAACAGGAGATGGCAAGAATAGACATTGACATCCTGGGCATCAGTGAACTAAAATGGACGGGAATGGGCAAATTCAATTCAGACGATTATCATATCTACTATTGTGGGCAAGAATCCTGTAGAAGAAATGGAGTAGCCCTCATAGTCAATAAAAGAGTGGGAAAAGCTGTACTGGGATAAAATCTCAAAAAATGATAGAATGATTTTAATACAAATCTAAGGCAGACCTTTGAACATCACAGTAATCCAAGTTTATGCACCAACCACCGATGCTGAAGAGGCTGAAATTGATCAATTCTATGAAGACTTACAACACCTTCTAGAACTGATACCAAAGAAAGATGTTCTTCTCATAACAGGGGACTGGAATGCTAAAGTAGGGAGTCAAGAGATAAAAGGAACAACAGGTAAGTTTGGCCTTGGAGTTCAAAATGAAGCAGGGCAAGGGCTAATAGAGTTTGGTCAAGAGAACAAGTTGCTCATCACAAACACTCTTTTCGAACGTAAGAGACAACACTACACATGGACATCAACAGATGGGCAATACCGAAATCATATTGATTATGTTATCTGTAGCCAAAGATGGAAAAGCTCTATACAATCAGCAAAAACATGACCTGGAGCTGATTGTGGCTCTGATCATCAGCTTCTTATCGCAAAATTCAAACTTAAACTGAAGAAAGTAGGAAAAACTCCTGGGCTAGTCAGGTAGAATCTAAACCAAATCCCTTATGAATAGACAGTGGAAGTAAAGAACAGATTTAAGGAACAAGATTTGGTGGACAGAGTGCCTGAAGAACTATGGATGGAGGCTCGTAACATTGTATAGGAGGCAGCAACAAAAACCCTCCGAAAGAAAAGGAAATGCAAGAAAGCAAAGTGGCTGTCCAACGAGGCCTTAAAAAGAGCAGAGAAGGGAAACAAAAAGCAAGGGAGATAGGGAAAGTTACAGAAAATGGAATGCAGACTTCCAAAGAACAGCAAGGAGAGACAAGAGGGCAGAAAGTGAGGAGGTATTAAAGAATCTCTTAATGAGGGTGAAAGAGGAGAGTGCAAAAAATGGTCTGAAGCTCAACATAAAAAAATTAAGATCATGGCCACTGGTCCCATCACCTCCTGGCAAATCAAAGGGGAAGATATGGAGGCAGTGACAGATTTTACTTTCTTGGGCTCCGTGATCACTGAAGATGGTGACAGCAGCCACGAAATTAAAAGACACCTGCTTCTTGGGAGGAAAGTGATGACAAACATAGACAGCAGAGACATCACCTTGACGACAAAGGTCCGCATAGTCCAAGCTATGGCTTTTCCAGTAGCAATGTATGGAAGTGAGAGCTGGACCATCAAGAAGGTGGGCTGCTGAGGAATTGATGCTTTTGAATTGTGGTACTGGAGGAGACTCTTGAGAGTTCCCTGGACTGCAAGCAGAACAAAGCTATCCATTCTGAAGGAAATCAACCCTGAGTGCTCACTAGAAGGACAGATCCTGAAGCTGAGGCTTCAATACTTTAGATATTTCATGAGAAGAAAAGACTCCTTGGAAAAGACCCTGATGTTGGGATAGTGTGAAGGCAAGCAGAGAAGGGGACAACAGAGGATGAGATGTTTGGACGGTGTCATCAAAGCTGTTCCAAATTTCCATCCCCTGCCTGCCTTAGCTCTCAAGCAAATGAATCTGACCAAAATCTGGGAGGCAGTGGAAGACAGGAGGGCCTGGCGTGCTCTGATCTATGGGGTCATGAAGAGTCAGATACGACTTAAGGACTAAACAACAACAACACTGATCTCTGTTCTCAAGTGCCTCATTTGCTTGAGAGCTAAGGCAGGCAGGGGATGGAAATGGGGTGAACCCACGTGGGCTGCAATTATGGCAAAAGGTGGCTGCCAGTTCAGGGAGGAGTACACACTCATTTCATCACATTCTCTCATTTTTCTTGATCTGCCACTTGAAACAAAATATTCATCTTACCTTGTGGTAGGACCAACTCTACTGACCCGTCACCTCCAAACCTGAAAAGACTGCTCAGTCTAGTTTGCCTTAGTCTGACATTGCAGAAATCAAAAGAACATCTACCATGCAGTAAGACCTGGTGGTGAAATTACTTACCAGGAGACCAACAATCTATCGTAATCAGGTGCTCAGCTTTTACAAATGGTTAGTCTTGTGGCAGAAGATTCTAAACATGAAAGGAAGGTCTTGTTGGATCTTTGATCTCAGCATGGCTCTATTTACCTCAAAATGTTGGTCTGGTCAGATTTCTCCAGAACTTTTACCACGAGTAGGTTAACAGATCTGATAACTTGCTGGCCTTCCTCTAGGTCTTCAACTCTTGAATCCAGCATTAAGGTAATGAGGCCATGCATCAAGTCCTTCAGAACTCCTGCAGAGGCCTCCCTGGCCAAGCTTTCAATTTGGAACAGCTGCCAATGGAATTAAATGGTTAAGTATCAGGCCTTCTTCAGAATAAAACAGTGTAATCTAGATTACCCCTCCAGAACTAAATTTCTAGCTGCTAGCAATGTTTCAAGAAGAAAGATGTCATATTGCAGATTTTTATGAATTAGAAAACAGAGCTATAGAAGGGTTGAGATCCTTCTGCAATTTTATCCCTTGGTGAATATAGTATTATACCACTGCATGCTTTTGTGTAGATAAATCATATTTCTCTCAGAGATGGGGAGAAAATGTGGAGGATTTATTCTGTTTTTGAAATAAAAGGAGATTCAACTCATTCTTATATTCACCACAGCAATTATATCACGCTACTAAAGAAAGTACAATATGTTAGGGCAGCCAATACCCATCTCCCTCCATTTGAGCGTACGTATGTACAGTTGGCCTCCCTTTCACATGTTCCTCTGCCTCCTACTTACCATAATCATATTTGGATAACTATTCAAGTTGTAGAAAAAAGTGAGATTGGCTGGCATTTAATACTGGAAAGTTTCACAAAGTAATAAAGACTGATTATACCCCATTTAGCAAGGCTCTCCTTTCCTCAAGAACACCTGACTATAGGCAAAATCCTATGTTCCACTAGTAGAATGTTCTTTCCCCCTTCCCTATGCTCCTTGGGACATATGAACCCCAGTTCTATAGATTTTTTAGCCTTCTACAGAAAGTTTGGGGATGCATAGATGGCTAAAAGATGCAGAAGGGTTTGCCCCCTACCCCTGGTTCCACTGGACCTTTGGATTTTCGCCAGTCCATCCACATATTTTGACACAACTGTACTTGATTCCTACTTGGACAATTTCGTTTTTAAAACGGAGATAAAAAATTTACAGTTTCCTTACTGACAGTTAGAATAATTTTACAACCCTGCACATTGCGTTCTGACTGCAGGTCTCATAACTCTCAAAAATACAAGTATTCTTATTTGAAAAGTCAACATGCAGAACTGCTTAGCTTCATAATATCTTAAAAGCTGGGGAGGGAACACAGTTTAGCATGTCAAACAGTTCCCATATGCCTATGAAAAAGCCACTGTGGCTGCTGAAGAACAACAGCGTCTACGGAAACAGATTGTGCCAATATGCTAATTCTCCAGAGCCAAAACAGCATACAGAGGGCAGAAAGAATATTTTGTGCATACAAATTCTTCTCCAATGTGCTCTTGAACTGTCAAAGAACATACTAAAATTGGTGCCATCTACAAGTTACAGGTACCGTATTTGCCGGTGTACAAGACGACTTTTTGGCCCTGAAATACATGCCTCCAAGTTGGGGGGGTCGTCTTGTACGCCGGGTGCATGTCTATCAAACCCTCCCTCTCTCCCAGAGTCCAAAGTAGGGGCAAAGAATAGTCGTATATAAAGAGTTGTCGAAAAGGCCGAAGAGGCAATCAGTAAGAAGAGCTCTATCGAGGAGTTCCTAACGCTGAAGGCGGTAAAACGGAACTGAGGCTAAGGGCGGGAAGAGCGTGCGCTGTAGGGGCACCAATTAATTAACTTGTTTTTTTCTCTAAAGCTCTAGAAATTTCCGAGGATTCCGGCGCAGGCGCGGACTTAACCCTATAGTGTGCATTCACAGAGGTCACGAACGAAGAATCTACATTCTGAGTGGGAATGCTGGGGGGCCGTCTTATACACCCAGTCGCCTTATACACCGGCAAATATGGTATCTATTATATCACACACATGCTCAGGCTAGCTGTGATAATGAATCCAAGAAAGATGTAAATGTTCACGTGTGATCTCTTCTTCATAACTTTGAACACACTTCTATTTTATTCTACTGTAGTATACATTAAGCAAAGTTTTGTGCAAACATAAAAAGTGTATACACAGCAGTACTGAAAGACCTCTGATAGAAGAATCAACAGGTAATATAAGCAACAACAAATTGACTAAAGGTAGGATAAATTAGTTAATCACATTTAGTAACTGAAGCTTCCTGTCTATTTCATCAAAAGTCTTACCGAAATCATGTTTCCAATTATGCAGCTGTACAATTTGACTATCTCATCCTTGTCCAGTTTCTCATCAGCCATGTGAGTATTGTAAATCAGCCGGAGCTGCATGAATGTAGCTATTAGGAACTGATCAATGTGGCCAGACATAGCTTCTGCTTTGTCCTCTTGTCTCAGAACTTCATCAATCTGCAAAGAGACTCAATATTTAGTTTTCTTTAAATATTAGCATCTAAAATATTGCTACCAACTTGTTTTCCATATAGATCAACTTTTTTTCCATACTGTATATTTTCCGCTCTCCTATTGCTCATTGGCACAAACCTCTCATCTTCTTAGAGAAAACACAACTTCGGACATTAGAGCCTAAGCACAACAGAAACATCACATGCAAGCCCAGCCACCAGTAATGAGAGAAATAACGGTACAGGAGTTTAATTAGGAATCTGTTTTGTAATTCTACAGTTGCTTCTATTTCATTTTCTTCATTCATGAACATGGCTTTATAATTCCACCACACAGCATGTAACTATCCAACTGAACTTAACTCACCTAAAATTGCAAGGTATCACATAGGTGTAACACAAACACCCAGTGGGAATTATTTTCAAAGTAAGGATGTCCTTCCCCACTGTTGGAAAAGGAACTGTTTTCCAGATATGTCTTGCTGGTATATTTTTATGTACTCTTCTCTAGCAAGTAACTACTATTGGGTTTAACTCTTTCCCACAGGAGAAAAATAGGATTAAACTGATTGGTTTGGTGTCATGTTCACAGGGAGAAAGCTCATTACAATTAACTCAGCACTCACATCATGATAGTGCTTCCTCTTTTTGTTAAGGATTTCTTTGGGAAGAGGTTTGCAGGGCTGACCCTTGGCTGCTTCTGCATTTCTTTTAGCCCTCCTTCGTGAACCTTATCACAGTCACTTTGGACAGGACAGTCCTGGGGAAACAAACTGTCTCAAGAATAAGGGATTCATTTTCTTTTTCTGATGTTTTGGTTCATTATCAGCACAAAGCCAGGAAAAAGAAAAGGACATCATACCTATTCTTCACTCGGATGGATGACTTGCCTTAAAGTTGTAAGTTTTTTTTTGGGGGGGGGAATAGCCATGTTAGTCTGTGCTAGTGTATCAGTTTTTAAAAATGAACAAAAAACAAACAAAATCCAGACAAAACTACTGTGGGATCTTTAAAAACTAGCTGCTATATTTTAATGTGAGCTTTTGTGAATCAAACCTGAGAAAGCAAACTTGATCCATGAAAGCTCATATTAAAATACAACAGTTACTGTTCAAGGTGCCACAACATGTTTGCCTCTTGCTTTATTTTGGTTATTGCCCTAAAAAGGCTGGAAAAGTTGACAGGTAACAATTATCTATTTGGACAGCAAGGGAGGAAATGATTGCTACTTTGCCTCATACCAGGATTCTGACAATAAAGAGATGGGTATTAGATTTTATAAACTGGTTAATCCAAACCCCATTATTACATAATAGAGAATGAGAAATAAAACACAAAAGAAAAGGAGACACTATTTTAGCCAAAAAAAAAAAAAAAAAACCGCCTGCAGTTTGATTTTTATCCTATCACTGGTAAAGAAACACTGATTAGTTTTAGCTGGCAGAGGTTATTTTTGAAAGGAAGGAGGAAAGGTGACAAGCAAAAGTCGCCCTTGGAGAAAGTGTGTGTTTGCACCAGGGCTAAACATTTTCTTATCTTCCCTTGCTCCTGACTGCAGCGAATCAGATGGCCCCTGTGCACTCGGGCTTTGTCAACAGGGAGGTTCTGGAAGGCACTTGTATCACCTGACACTTAGTGCCACCAAACGTGCAACTCATCAGTCTCGCTGTTTACATGCCAAATCTTATCAGTGTTATGCAGTTGTGAACCAGAAGGCTGCCCACTTACCTGTGCAAGAGCTTGGATGCTAGTACTGATATCACCACTAGCTACCTGGGAAATTACAAAATTGATGGTGGATGCTGTGTTACTGTGCATATCATCAAAGTGTGGAGACACAGCACGGATCCTTAGTGGAGAAAGAATATATAAATTTAAGGCTGAAGCAGCTTTAACAGTCACATCTATCAAATCCAAACTCAATTCAAAATGTTAACAATTTAGTAGCTATAAAATCATCTTTAGACATTTCAGATCAAAGCCTCACTTCCCACATTTTTCAGTAAAAGCAGCATTGTCCAGAATTTTTGTGGCAATGTACATATGTTAATTACACAACTGAACACCTCAACTAATATACCAAGGTCATATTAGAAGCAGTAATCTTACCCCATTCTGACCAGAATCATATTAGCAATTTATGCATGCTTAAGTCACAGTAGCAAAGTGTTGTTTATTAACAAGATGCTAATTGTCTTCCCAATCACATACTCATTTGAGAACAGAGTACAACCAGAAATGCATTTGACACCTCACAAATTAATGGTAATATATTGCAACAATATGTGCCACTTTGTTTACATGTATGTAAAATGTCAATAAGATTCTGGACTCTGTATGTGGGGAATATAAGTATTATAGACCTCTCTTAAATAATCCTATGCATAGTTGTTGTGGGTTTTTCGGGCTTCTTGGCCTCTGAAGATGCCGGCCACAGAGACTGGCGAAACGTTAGGAAAAACCACCTTCAGAACATGGCCAAGAAGCCCAAAAAACCCACAACAACCATTAGATCCTGGCCATGAAAGCCTTCGCGAATACATTAAATCCTATGCATGTCTGCCAAAATAAACCACAAAACCACAATCTTTCTGTAGCATTGTAGGTGAACTTTTGATATAGTTGCCTTTTTCATCTTCAGAAAACATTCAGCTTTTTTGGCACAGAACAAGTGACTTGGAAGGGCATACACAGAGATTGGAATTAGATGGTAGAAAGACAAAATCCAAAGTGCTGTTTTTGACCTATAAAACCCTAAACAATGTGGTCCCAAGCTTTCTAAAAATCTACAGCTCCCTTTATAAACTTGGCCGATTTTTAAAATCAGTGGAGGACATTCTCTTGCTCTCACCACCCCCACAGGAACATCTGGTGCGGAGACAAGAGAGGGTCTTTTCTGTTATGTGACTCTCAAGCTGTGAAGCTTCCTCCCATGGGAGGTCAGGCTGGGATTCTCTGCAGGGATGCTTTCTATCAATAACTTGCCATCTAAGAGGAGGTATGTCAAAACAGGGCTATTATCTCTTTGTAATTATTTTAATGCTATTTTAGAATGACTTTAAACCGTTTTTGTCTTCTAGTTTTAAATCTGATATCCATTTAGTATTTTAATACTGTATCAATTTATTGGCTTTCTATTTTAATATTGTTTGTTTTAATACAGTACACTGTCTTTGATTCTCCTGAGAAGAAGAGCAGGATATACTTATTTTAAATTAATAATAAATAGCAAATCCATGTGCTAGAATTCTTGGTCAGCCTTTTGCAAATTTCAGTGGTACTGTTTACAAAAGAGACAATTTCCCTAACCATCTCCCTCTCTTAAATCAATGAAGACTGAAAACATGACTTCATTCAGGAATATCCATATTATTTGTCCATTCACATGCTGCAATGAGCAAATGGTATTAGTATGCAAATGTGATATGTTTAATAACTGTGAATGTATCGCTTTTAAGAAATGAAACATCCACAGATTTAAAAGAATATGTAGGCCACTGTTCATATAGGCAGTGATGGCAAACTTATGGCACGCGTGCCACTGCTGGTACGCGTAGCTCTTTCTTCTGGCACACAACAAACCTTTTGAAGTGGCTGCAGCTGGGGTTCCCCCTTTCTCTTCCTGTTCTGGGTCCTTTAACTTCCTCTCCGTCCCCATGATTCCCCCTGAAACTTGCCACTTCCTGTTCCGGTTTTGGTCTTCCAGGCGGCATGGCAGCCACTGGTTTCTTCCCCACCCCCTCATTTTGGGCACTTGACCCGAAAAAGGTTTGCCTTCACTGATATAGGGAAATACATATAATTTGGACAGAGATAGGAATTACACAGCCCATCAGCTGCATGCGGCCTCCAAAGGTTGTTTGTAGCCACAAAGCCCCTTCAGAATGGCACCTGTACAGTGTGTGATTCTCTTCTAAAATAAGGTCTACACCTTCTTTCTACAATACAAGTCCCTCCAAATGAAGCTGACTTTTTATGAAAGAAGAAATGACCTCCTGCTCAATTTCAGCTTGACATGGAAGGCTGGCCCATCCCCCAGATGCTGGCAATATAATCTTGGTCACCCCAATTTAAGGCAAAGCAGACTGCATGTACAAGCAGATATATGAAGTTTGGCAGTTTTGATAGCCTTTGTTTTTTACGTTTAACACACAATGCTTCCACATTTTGAACATCACCCCTGCAGCTAAAGTAGACAGAAACATGCATTTATTTTATACAAATAACACCTTTATGTAAGACAGGGGCTGCTACCATGCAGCCCATGCATTGCATGCACCCCAACTGACATGTCTGTGTACTTGCCAGAGCCCTGCAGCTCACACCAATTTAGAACAAGGCATAGGCTTTTTTTTAATTCTGAAGAATGACTTATGGCAACCCAGAAGTCCCTTTTCCCACTTCTACTAGCAAAGACGACTGATACCTCCTCAGTTGCCCAGCCTAAAATAAGAGCAAGATATAAGACAAGTGTTCACATCAGCCCCAAGGTTTACTCCTTATTACTGCTCCCTCTATACTTACTTGGGTTCAGGGATTAACACTGGTTCAAAGATGTCATCCAGTTTGTGTTGGACAAGTGCTGGCATTTCACATCGCACTGTGCCATTATCATTTTCTATCTCGTCTAAATCCAGCTGAAACTCTCGTGGAACTGAATGTGTTGTCTCTGGATGGCCACTCATGTTACGGGCTTGGCTACAGAAACCAAGAAAAGCATTTTAACTACCAAGTTCCACAAACCTATTGATTAGATCCCCTCATCCACCCGCAACTTAAGATTAATTCTGAATTCTCCATGAACTGCATGTGATTTGGGAATGATCCTTTCTCTCCCTGCAGTCTGGGATTTTCCAATAGTTATGAGGTACCAGGATTTTGGAGAAGGTGCAAAGTCAACACTAAATCAGGTAAACTAGTCCTCCTTCACAAGTTTTTCTGCAGCTCATGAAGAAACCAGAAGGTAAAATTTCTCTTGCTCTCCTCTGAGCTTTCATGAAGTTGAGAAAGGGGTGGAATGATAGCAGTTGGTAGTGACCACAAATAATGTCTGGTTATTAAACCAAATTAAAGCTTGGTAGGCTCTGTGGAGGATGGGCTCCAATTCTGGGGGAGAGAAAACATACTTTGCATGCTGAGGGCTCCCATGTGGAACTCTCAGAATCTCTAGGTACAGCAATGCTGCCTAAAACTCTGGAGAGCCACTGACAATCAAAGTTGACAATACTAGGCTAGATGGGCTAATGATCTGAATCAGGATAAGGCAGCTTTCTATGCTCATGTGACCTGTTATTCTGTGCGTATGCAGTAATTAAGAAGTGAGAGCACCAATATCTACAATCAACAAACCCAAGGAATTTCCAGCCTGCCAAACAATGGCCCAGCTACTCATCATCTTCTAAAGCAAAGCTTACAAAGGAGCAGCTAGCTGCCTCTCACAGCCCAAGGCAGGATATCCAGTACTGCTTTATAATAAACTGATGAATGAAAATAAGGAAATCAGTTCACATTTGTTTCTTCACATAGGGAAATATGCTCCCAACAAACTAGCATTGCAAGACAGTTTTGGTGGATGAGTTTTACACTTTTTACATTCGGTTTTCCATAATGCCTATTTTGCTAAAGATGGCTTACTAAATAGGCATTCTAGAATGTATAATTAGTACATGGCATTGAGTACAATGGGGCACAGTCTGCTTCTAGAAAGGACTTCCAAGTTCAGATTCACATTTTAATATCTTGTTGGGTAACATCCAACACTGCCCAAGTGGGCGTGCACTAACACACCAGAACTTCTCTTCCTCTCATAACACCATCCTCCCCATTACTTCATGCCACAGCCATTGAGACTGAATTTGGAGGGCATGAAAGGGAGCTAAGAGAGGTCAGTTCCTTCAGTAATATATATTCTACTGGTGGACAGACACCATCTCAAAACAACTCTGACCTTAAGATACAAGGCCAGATGCAATGCATCAGTTGAGACCCCCAAATATTCTAGCTGCTAGCCTGCTTGGAGATGTTGTAAGTGATTTGGGTTGTATCAATTCTGGCTAATGATTGTCAGTTTCCTGAATAGTTCAAAATCAAGCTGCAGTAAAACCCCCCTCCTGTTTTATTTTGTTTCTAACTGTAGGCAGACTTTGAAATACCCAGGAAACTAAGTAGTGTCAGCAGGTCAATAAACCTCTAATTTGAGTGTGCTGTCTAAATATATGCCTTTGTCCTAAACCTTCACACCACCCCTAAAAAGCGGGCCATTACAACTATTCTAAAAACAGAGCTGAGACTGAGATAGCAAACTGCCCAAAACCACACAAGGAGGCTCACAGCGGAGAAGAAAGCTTGAAGCTGTGCCTCCTATAATCAAATCCAATTCTGTGCCCCTACACTTCAGATCCTAAGCACATTTACTAGGTTTTATTGCACTGAAACCAGTGGGCCTTATTTCCAAATATAGTTAGGATTACAGCATGGAAAAATGAAGAGAAAGTTTCAAGAGACCTGCTACCAAGGATTTAGTAGTCAGTACTTACATCCTATAAGTGCGATACATAATTCTGTCCATGGAGAAGCAGTGAAAAAAGGCACAATACCATTTAGAAAGCATTCAAGACACGACAAAACAAATGAAGAAAGGTTCAAACATTTTGCTTTGAAATATTTTTGCAGTTTGTGACACATGCAGACACTGATGATTAAAAAAAAGGACAAACACAAGGCAACAGCAAGGTATGTTTTTAGCACAGTATGAAAGTGTTGAAGAAAACTTGCATTTTCCACATTACATACTTCAGCTTGGAAGACATGTCTTCAGCTGGTCCCTTCCGGAGCATGTTAGTGTTGACACTGGGATTCTGAATGCGCTGTGGTTTCTCCTCCACCTGCCTTGCTAAAGCAGTATTTGGCCTCTTAGCAGACCTCTTTATTCGTTCTTCCAACATGCTCATGTCCTTCTCAGAAAGCTGCACAAGAAGAGCAACTTTTCAGTATCATGAGAAGTTTGACAGTGAGAATGGTCCAATGGGCTGACTTTTTCTGAAAGGTTTAGAACAGATCACCCAAAGAAAGTCCCAGGCTCTTCAGTTATTCCTGTTCTTGGCATGTGTTTTAAGTTTAAATTTATAAAGACTTCTCTAAACCTGAAGTGTGAAAAGTAGATAGACAGAGTCTAGGGTTTAATTAAATCAAATGCCTATGCCATCCTACACAGTGCTAAAACATGTGCACAGTCCAGCTTGGAATGTAATTTCAGTGAGCTAGAGAGGTAGTAATTTTGAGTTACAATTTACATTCCAAGAAAGAATGTCCTCTTACTGAATTAGTTACTACAGTGGTGCCTCGCATAACGTTTGCTTCGTTTAACGTTTTTTTCGCTTAACGTTTATTTTTTCAGAGGCAGATTGTGCTTCGTATAACGTTTTTCCCTATGGGCGATTTTCGCATAGCGTTTTTGGGACCATGCTTCGCTTAACGTTTTTTGTTTTAGGTCCCCTGCTTCACTTAACGATGTTTTTGTTTTCAATTTAAAAAGTGTCTTAGAAGGGTCCAAAACGGTTCTAAATGCTTGGATTCGTTAGAGGACCCCTTAAGTCATGTGCAAACCTGATTCGGCTTTGATCTGACGTTTCGTTAATTTTTTGTGAATTTTTGTTTTTTGGCCCATAGGAACCAATGGACCTGTCAAAATCTGACAGCTCCATGCTTTCCTATGGGGGAGAAAACAATTTACAAAAAATTAACGAAAGTTCAGATCAAAGCCAAATCAGGTTTGCACATGACTTAAGGGGTCCTCTAACGAATCCAAGCATTTAGAACCGTTTTGGACCCTTCTAAGACACTTTTTAAATTGAAAAAAAAAACATCGTTAAGTGAAGCAGGGGACCTAAAACAAAAAACGTTAAGCGAAGCATGGTCCCAAAAACGCTATGCGAAAATCGCCCATAGGGAAAAACGTTATACGAAGCACAATCTGACTCTGAAAAAATAAACGTTAAGCGAAAAAAACGTTAAACGAAGCAAACGTTAAGCGAGGCACCACTGTAATCCGTATTGGAACGGTAACCGCAGGCCGAAAAGTCCATAGATCGAGGGTCCCTGTCCACAATGGTACAGTGGACCCTCGACTTACGGAATTAATCCGTACTGGAACGGTAACCGCAGGCCGAAAAGTCCATAGATCGAGGGTCCATTTCCCATAGGAATGCAAATTAATGAAACACCAAATCTATTGAGCACTTTCTTCAGGATGTTCCTTCAGCTTGCATTCAGAAAATGTTCATAATGGGACTCTTCTATTTTCCCTGATTTCTTTGTAGTCTTAAATAAACCTAGGATTAATATTTTTACTAGATTTTCAGATTTATCCTCAGCTATCCTCTTCTCTCTCCGCAAAGGGTTTAACTTGTTTAATGATATTTCTAACCATAGATAATACATAATTTACACCTCATTATGTGCTCAGGCTGCAAACCTTCAATATGAAAAAAATGGAGCCTTAAGAACATTAATTTCCATTTTCTTACAGGCAACTATATGACAAAGCATGGCATGAGATAGTTATTTTATTCTTAAAAGCATATCATTTGGAGGAGATGTGAACTTTTTTTCCAATTCCCTGTGCATCCCAGAAGGAGGTACAGTGGTACCCTGCATAGCGACGTTAATCCGTTCCAGGATTAACGTCGCTATCCGGATTCGTCGCTATGCGGGGGGGGGGAACCCCATAGGAACACATTAAACTCTGTTTAATGCGTTCCTATTGGAGAAAAACTCACCGCTATGTGGGGAATCCTCAATCCGGCCGCCATTTTTGCCACACGGTAAGCGAGGGCAGGGCGCGAAAACGCTGCGGGCGGCCATTTTGCTGATCCGGCGGCCATTTTGGAACTGCCGATCAGCTGTTTTCTAAACATCGCAATGCGAAGATCGGTAAGCGAAACGCTTACCGATCATCACAATGCGATGTTTAGCCTATCTAAACATCGCAATGCGATTGCATTAGCGATCACAAAAAACGCATCGCTATGCGAATTCGTCGTTAAACGGTGTGCTTGTTAAGCGAGGCACCACTGTATTCAAAACTGCCCTGTCCAAATGGAGATAGAAAAGTATTAGTAGTTAACATGAGTGGAAGAGTCCATGATATGTCTGCTTCAGTTCCTTCCCACTGCCCATATACAAAGTACAAAATCACTGCTCAAGTATTTTTTCAAGTACTTTCTAATTCGTTAGCAATGGTCAGGTACTAGATGAATTTATGAAGTAAACTGTCAAGATTTGCATATTTTTCATTCTGTTTCAGGTATTGTGATAGTATCAGATACAAACTGTGCCAGCCATTATATCTTGCAATCGTGTCCTCTGTCTATATTCCACATCAGATACCTGAGAAGATTAGGTCTTCAAAGACCTATGTATTGGGTTATTTTCTCGTTTTACCAGAAATTGAACTTTCTAATACAGTACTTCTACAGTGGTGCCTCACTTAACGATTACCTCGTTAAACGACGAAACCGCTTTACAATGAAGTTTTAGTGATCGCTATTGCGATCGCAAAACGATGTTCCTATGGGGAAAAATCGCTTAACGATCGGTTCCCTGCTTCGGGAACCGATTTTTTGCTAGATGAAGATTGTAAAACAGCTGATCGGCGGCTCTAAAATGGCCGCCCACTGTACAAAATGGCTCCCCACTGTGCTTTAGGACGGATTCCTCGCTTTACAGGCACCGGAAAATGGCTGCCCTATGGAAGATCTTCGCTGGACGCTGAGGTATTTAGCCCACTGGAACGCATTGAACCGGTTTTCAATGCATTTCAATGGGTTTTTTAATTTCGCTTGATGAGGATTTCGCTTAACAGCGATTTCAACGGAACGGATTATCCTCTTGAAGTGAGGCACCACTGAATTTCAACTCACAAGATAGAATACTTTCCAATAACCTATATAACTATTTCCTTACTGCCCAAACAGGAGATCTTATCCAGGATTTTGCCTAAACCCTGGAAACCAAGATTATTTCTCTCTCATATTAATAGAAAGAATTATGATTAAACTGGATAACAACCAGACACATCTGAAGAAAAAGTTAAAGCAAACATTTTAAAGGTTTAAATGTTCAAATTAAATGCCCTAGTTAGAGGGGGGAGGATAATCATGGGTTAATGGATCCTAGCAATAAAGATATTCACTCTTAAAACTTGGAGCTTCAACCTCTAGTTTGATCTAGGCAATAATGCAGCATAATCAAGTACAGTGGTGCCTCGACTTACGACCATCCCAACATAAGACCATTTCAAGTTGCAACCAGCTCCAGCCACAAAATTTTGCTTCAACTTGTGGCCGGAGCTTTGAGTTGCAAACAAAAGAGGCAGGGAAAAAAGGCAGGGAATTCAAATTATAGGACTAACCATTGGTCGGCGAAGAGCTTCTTTGTAGCTCTTTCGCCCCAACGGTTAGAGTGTGTGAGTTGGAGGAGGCTTCGGGCTGCCTGATGCTGCTTTCTGCTCCTGAGTAGGTACATTTACTTTGTTTTGCAGGGTGCGTTTGGGTTTGGGGGAGCTATATTTCTGTGCTGTGATGTTTTGGGGTGGGTTTTTTTTTAGGCCCATCGGAACACGATGGGGCTGGCTGTGTTTGTGTGTGTTTTTGATCCCCCCCCAGCCCCATCGCATTCCGATGGGGCTGGCTGTGTGTGTGTGTGGGTGTTTTTTATTTTCCAGCCCCATCGCATTCCAATGGGGCTTGATGTGTGTGTGTGTGTGTGTGTGTGTGTGTCTGTGTGTGTGTGGTTTTTTATTATTTTTTTCATATATTTTCATATATTTTCTATGTGGTGGGTTTTTTTAAAAAAATATTTTTTTCAGCCAGAATGGATTACTGTAATTGGGTTTTAGTGCATTTCAATGGGAAATGGTGCTTTGACTTATGACCATTTCGAGTTACAGTGGACCCTTGACTTACAGATGGCTTGACTTACAGACTTTTTGAGTTACAGACTTCTCTGGCCGCAAAATTTAGGTTTGACTTGCAGACTGAGATTTGACTTACAGACCAGAAAAAAACCAAAATGGAACAAAAACGGCCTGTTACGGGATTAATCGGTTTTCAATGCTCTGTAGGTCAATGGAGACTTGACTTACAGACTTTTTGACTTGAGAACCGCCTTCCAATACGGATTAAGTTCTCAAGTCAAGACCCCACTGTACGACCGTTCTTCTGGAACGGATTAAATTCATAAGTCGAGGCACCACTGTACCTTAGTTTGGCATATCTGGTTGCAAACTACTTTAGAGAAACTTCTTCCTTTCAGATCAAGTACCCAGAACCCATTCAGCAAACATCTGACCATTATTTTCATATATATGTATGAGATATCAGTGAACTCCCATTTAACTATGGATTTTAATTAAGATTTGATTAAAATTACAATGCTGCTTCTGTAAGCATATATTCTGAATTTCCCACATTCAGCTAAGCCTTCAAAGCTAGGCATATCAGGTGAAACCATCCAGTTGAAGGCAACTTTGGGGGCCATTCTGGGTAGAAAGACAATGAACAAATGTTTTAAATAAATAAATAATCAAATATTACTATCTAATCAAATTCTTTGGCAAGCAGTTTTGAAGCTAACTATTTTTTAGACAGAGCATGCCCACCGCTGGTGCATTCCGAGTGTTCATCACATCCTCTTCCCAATTCAGAAATTATGAGGAACATTATGTTCCAATGTAAGATGTAGAAACTTCATCAGAGAAAGGAAGGGCTATCCTATAATTGGGAGCCAGACACTGTGGTTGCAACATTGTGTTCCCACTACTCCCTTGTCTCAGAAGCAAAAACTCAAAGAAACAAAGTGTGAACAATCTGCCTCTCAATTAAGCAGGCATGAAATTGCAAGTGGGTTGTTTCTGTAACTAGGGAATAAACTTCAGCACATTACTGGCTTTCCAGATACAATGGAAGAGCAATCTCCCCAAGAAAAGCTCCCTTTACCAAATTAAAACAAAGAAAATTGCTCCAGTCCTTTGATAGGCTGGTAGTCCTGTTTGAGTACCAAAGTTCATAAAAGAGATGCCAAACCAGTCTTCCATCTTGCTATTTAAACAGATGTGGTGACTAAAACAAAAGCAGTACAGTACTTATTCCCACAATTCTTTGCAAGTAAGCATCAAAATTAAATAACTAAGAACCTCAGAGTAGACATTTTTGGAAAAGCTAATCCCCACCCAATCCCCTGGGAAACTTACAACACATTTGTTCTGAAAATTCAAGCAGACCTTTTCCATCCTCATTTTAACTGGTAAACACCACTGGAATACAGTGGTCCATCCATTTTATCCTTAAAGTAACTTTCTAGCCATTAAAAATGTTAAATACCACCAGCTTGTTTCTCTTACTCACATTCCCAATCAGCTTGAACACCTGGTCCCCATGTACATTGTAAACTGTTACAATGGTGTTGAGAGCAGCATTTCTGACAGTATTGTCTCTGTCACCAATGTGAATTGCTATTTCCTTTAAGGCTTTGCCTGGGGTTGGCTGACACACATTCATGCCATACGATTCAACTAGACATCCCAGCTCTTCCAAGCACTCTACAGAAATAATAAAAACAAGAGGCAATACAGATTAGATTCACAAAAATATATAGGAAAAAAGGGCTATTAATACTTCTGTATACTGATATCCAAATGGTCAACAATAAGTTGTTTTGTAATAATCTTCTGTATTTTCCATGTATTTTTAAGAACAAGAGTATCAGTTTTGAGGAATGCTGAAAAGCATAGTACTAAGTTAAGGAAATGGGGGATCTTACATCAGCTTCTAGACCAGCGATGGTGAACTTATGTCACATGTGCCACAGCTGGCACACAAAGCCCTTTCTGCCAGCACACGAGCCATAAGTTGTCAGATCACTACTCCCTCCCCTCACGCAGCCAAACCTGAGAAGGCGGCTGCAGCCGTGGTGCTAGCAATTCAGCAGGCGGATCCGGAGCAGCTGGCGCTGGCAGTGGATCCAGAGTGGGGTCTCGAGGCACCTCCGTGCTGGGATTCCCCCTTCCGCTGCCACTTCTGGTTCCGCCACTGCCACTTCCTGTTTTGTCGCTGTTCCCGCAGCAGCACGCCACCTGCTAACCCCCCCCCCCAATTTGGTCACACGAGCCCAAAAAGGTTCGCCACCATTGTTCTAGACTAACAAGTTTTATCATGAGTTTTCATCCCACTCAGAATCACAGTAAGAGGGCAATCTTTCCTATCAATATGAGGCAAGAAGAAAAATTACGCAAGATTTCTAGTAATTCAAATAAGCACTGCACTAACGGTGTTTCCAGGATAGTGTCACAATAAACAGAGACATGTTTGTTACAATACGTGTGCTTCATTAATATGTCAGTCTCCCAAATAGTCTTTGAAAGCTTCCAAAGCCACCAATAATTGAATTACAGCAAATTAGAAAATTCAGTTTCATCATCATAGTATAAAGATAATTTTTAAGGTGACAATTAGCTTAGCAATTTATTATTAACAATAATTCAGTTGCAAACATTTAAGCTATACACCTGCAGAATACACTTGATGAAGTGGACTCTGATACACAAAAGCTTAGGACATAATAATGTGTCAGTCTTTCAAGTGCTACCAGATACTGGAATTTTTGCAAAAGTAATCCTGATCTGTAGTATATGTCAATGATCAACAGTTTATGATGAAGTTTCCCACCTGCCCGCTGTTTTGAATTCTTTGACTTTGTTCCTTCCATTATGAAAGTGAACATCTTGCTGGCTGGGTAGACAAGGCACATCCTATTCAGAATGGCACGCACATCCCTACGGACAACATCTTTTGGTTCTCCAACCTGAAAGATAAGAGGAAACAGTGATCCTAGATGGGGGATCACATGATCCTTGACTTTCTGGACAATAGAATTTACGAGGCACCACTGTATATCCTCCTGCCGAAATGAGTAACTGCCTTCCAGTTTCCTACTGCCTACTTGAGGGCTCTGATGGGGCTGCCGTCCAATCACAGCATTTTAATGTAATCTGTAAGTAACATAACTCGGATTTTTAATCTCTAGATATCTGTTAAGATCAACTACTCAGTTTTACAACACTGCATACCTTTAAAATAAGATATGGGATGAAGGAGGTGGCCTCATTTTCAGTAAGATGGTACTCTTCTTGGTTCAACATGGTAAAGAGCAGTTTGAGGTACTCCAGAGTCTTCATCAGGACACTTGTGTTAGTGTCAAAAAATCTCAGGGTAAGCCATTTTAGGATCAGATCCAAACAATTGATAACTCCCTCCTTTTCACTCTCCAAATGCTTGAAAGAAAACAGATGACAGGGTAAACTTTTGATACAGGGTAGTACAGTATATACAACAAGATCAAGGAAGAACCATTTGACTAACCAGTGACTTTCACCAGGTGATTTTTCTGGTATCAGAGTTACTGAACATGGGTGATACAGGACACATAATAGCTACTTGTACCAGAAACTGTAATTAAGTGCATTTCAGACACCTGCTGCACAATGCTTTGATGGGAAACCTGGGAGGCAAAGTTGGATTACACTGTTGTTAAGGTGTATTATGAAAGTATATTATAGAACTCTCTAAATTGAGCAGGGTGTTTCCAAAGCCTGCTTGCTTAGGGAAGCAAGTTCATACATCCACCACCAGCTGCTCCTGTACACTTTAATCTACTATAATAACAAATTGATTCTCCTTACCTCAATCATTACACCAAGAGCTTTGTTGTGGTGTTGAAAATCTGCATGGAACATCTCATCTTGTAACCACTTAGCAACACAGCTGGACATTTGAGTCTTCAACTGTTCAATATATTCATCACGAGGTGTAGTGAAATTCCATTTCAAAACCTGAGAGAGAGAAACACAGCATTCTACTTCAAACAAACAAGGAAGTTAGTAATTTAGGCTAGAGTAGTTTTCTCTAACTTCTTTAGTCCATGGGAGAAAAGAGTTGAAATTTTTAAAAAAGCATGCAGTGAGTTATTTGGTTATCAATGCTGTATTTAATTACAATGCTCAGGCTCAAATTATATAGCTAGTACTTAGAGATGGGGATATTCGTATTCATAAACAAATATGAATATCCTCATCCCAGTTGCAGCTAATGCAGGTCCGGCCCTCAGAATCAGCCCATCCACTCGCTCGCGACCATACTGCCAGTGTCCCGCTTTTCCCACCAATCACAGAATAGCTCTGCCATCTCCCTGCTCAGCTGGCCACTCAGCAGCCATGCAGGGAGACTCATCCTCCTGCCCCCTGCCTGGAGGGACCAGCCTAACAAGGTAATGATGGAGTTACTTCTGCAATTGGCAAGAAGAGCAGGACACCGGCAGCGCAGCAGTGTGAGAGTGGATGGGCCGGTTCCAAAGCTTTTTATTTTTACTTTCCTCCACCTATAAGATTTCAGTTTGTTGTTCAACTGAGGTGTACAGTTCATAGGTCTCATTAAAGGTGGAAAAAGTTCTGAAATGATTTATCTTTGCCTCATTTTTTTACATCACAGACACTTGACATTTTAAAAGGAGTGTGTAAACTTTTTATATCCACTGTAGCCTTAGAATGATACCATACAACTAGCAGGTGGTGTACCAAAGTAAACTTGAGCTCAGAATAGTACTAATTTTTCAGTACAGTACTTGAGATTAGATGCTGTCAGTTTCTCTTACTTTTAATCCTTTTTCATCTTTCATCCTTTGTTCTTTCCCATTTGGAACCACAATAAAAACTGGGCCAGATCTATCATCATCTTCCTTCAGGTTGGACTTGCTTGGTACCTTCTTCCCCTGTATACCCTACAAAAGCAAAACAACAGTAAACACACCCCAATACAACATCAATCACTTTATTTTAGATTCCAATCGATGTGTGGGACTAAATAGAACAAACCCTATCCCACCACCATGCATAGCAAACTTCTCACCCATACAAATGTTGTATTAGAAAGTGCGCTGAAGCCATCAGGTGTACATGTAAGTACTGTGAACAGAAAACACACCGGACTGCACAGTTTTTAGTAATAGCAAGTGTATAATGATCAGTGCACTGGTCATTAGTGGTACCCACTTATTACCGGTTTGATAGGTCTGTTCTTTGTCACATTACTGCCTTTGGTGAAGCTTGTATTAGCATCAGAATGCTGAAACAAGTCATAAAACACTCAGTGATTAACAGCAGGCTCCATATCATAGTTTAAACGCTGAAACCTCAGACCTGATACATATGTCACATCAGCATTGTTCTAAAGATGTTTGCCTTTGCATTAAAGAGAATATAGAACATCCTTTGTTATGAGTAAATTTGTTCACGCACAATTTGCTTGAGGTACTAAGAATCTAAGAGTACTGACGTGCAAATGACATATAAGATAGCAATTGGTAGAAAATCCCAATATGCTGTTTTTTCTGCCCTAAAACAGCACCGTTATATTGGATTCCTCGTTTTTTACAGCAACAGAGTCAAATCAGCTTCCTGGGATAATCTTTTTTTCTTATGAAAGATGAGAAGATTTATTGGTCTTCAAAATTCAAGAGGAGCTACTAACTCATATTATTTCTGAACATTTTCACTACTTCTTAATTTTTCTTTGGTGTTTCAGGGGAGGTAATATGTTACAATATGTCATGCCTTATAATTAAAAATCTTTTTATAATTTGAAGCACATCAAAAGACTAGCTGAATACCGTATCTTCATTTTTGGAAACTGACAGAAATACACCCTGCCCTTTAGACAAGATGTTTCCATTCAGACATAAAGTTGAACCATGTTTTATTTATCATAGGAAACAATCTACAGTATATGATCTTTGGGCTCATAGATTTCCTTCTTCCTCACATGGAGTGAGTGAGAACAACTGTTTTAAGCCAAACTTCAGTTCCTTGAGATATCTGAACTCAAGGAAGAGTGGCTTGTACTAAGTGTAGTTGGTCTATTTATTTTGTTTAGCATATATGTTCCTCACCTTCCTGCCTGCTAGGGCTCTAAAGACAATTTCCATTGAAATTAGAACAAATTAAAAACATTCAGTTAAAAACCTCCAAAAACAGATATAAAAACAAATCCAAAATATTTTCAAAAAGTCAGTTTTTAAAACTCTGTCATAGAGCCCAAAGACCTTTCAGAAAAGTCTAGTTTTTGCTGCCTTTCAAAATTTAGGTGATGGCATGAATAGCAGGGTCTTTGCTGAGATCTCAATAGATCTCAACAAACCAACATGTTATACCATCAACAAGAAATTCAGATGCATACATGTTTATTCCCTTAATAAAAACCCATGGACCAAAACCTCTCGCATAGTTAATCCAGTAGTGGTGTAACATTCAGAGGCAAATTGCTTCAAATTTTAAGAATCACCATGGATATTATTTGGTGAGTGCTGAGTCACTATTACCCATTATGCCTGAGGAGATTCAAGGGGGTTTTGGTAAAAAGTTAATCTGAGCTTCTGGCAGCAGAAAAAAAATGTACTTTTCTGTAAAGCCTCTGGGCTCTAAGACTGGCTTTTAAAAACTGACTCTTAGAAAATATTTTGGAAATGCCATTTTGGGGTCTGTAGTAGACATTATTTGTAATCAATCAACCATACGGTATTACCTGTCAGAGTGTCTTTCCAAAAGTCATCCTCCTGCACCACCAAATCCTCTTAGGCCATTTCCCTATAGATGGCAACACCAAAAGAGACCAGAGAAACTTCAACAAGAAGTCAGGCCTTCTTGGTGGTGGCACCATCTCTTTGGAATCACCTCCCAGTTGAGCTACGCCTGGCTCACTCTCTCCCTAGCTTTAAGAGGCTGTTGAAGACCCATCTCTTCCGAGAGGTCTTTGAAGGCAGCCTTTTTCGAAGTTATTCGCACCTGTACTGCTGCTCCGGTATGTTGTACCATTAGGGCATTGTGCTGATCTATTTTTGTTTACTGTTGTTTGATTTTATGTGTTTTTCTTTCTTTTTTTGTTTGTTATATCACTGTTTTTAGATGCACATCACCCAGAATATTGCTGTGTGCCAGTTTGGATGGTATATAAATGACAGAAATAAATACATTTTCTATTTAAAAGTTCCTTATGTGGTTGTCAATCAGCAATACATGTCATGGACACCTTATTTGGTCCACAGCCTCCATCAGTTAGTTCCTCTTTCTCTCTTTTCCAACCCACTCTTCCAGGCAAAACAGATACACAGGCTCCTAACCATCCTCTCCATCAGCTCATGACAGAGAGAGATGAGCAGCACAAAGTAAGAAGCAATTATTGTTTTTGGCAGAACAAAGACAAGAAAGCAATGATTGTCTTCGGCAGAACAAAAGCAGGCTTGGAAAGGGCAAGGGAACATAATGTGCTTTCTTGATTCTTCTGTTAAATATTTATAGGCTTCTAAATATACAACCTTCCTTTCATAAAGGGCCACAAGACCTGTTGAATTCTTATATGATTTTTATATATCCAAATCCAATATTTCTCCTTAAGAGGACCAAGGCAGCTTACAATAGTAAAAGAAACGGTATTAAAAACTAAAAAATAATAAATTATTATTAAAACAGCTGAACAGATATAATATTAAAACTGTTAGGTAATAACAGCCAAAAGTACATCAAAAATAATAAAACTACAACAATTGCATTTTTAAAAAACACATCTCTTTTATGCAGCCAGTCACTATTACTTTGCTGAACAAGTCTGTTTTGCCATATTTCTATGGGTATATTTGTGCTTGTTTGTGAAAAGATAAAGCCCAGAATTAAATGGAGTTTTTGCGCTCTAAAAGATGAATGTCTGAAAAGAGATCAATGGTACTACAAAGCCAAGAAGGATCTTTAGATCTTATATTACCAGTGCTATTCCTGGATAACTCAAGAGGTTTAGATATCTGGCTGTGGAGACAGAAGCTGGGAGTTCAATTCCCCACTGTACCTCCTTGACAGAGGCTGGACTCGGTGATTCAGGCAGTACCTTCCAGTTCCACAGTTTTAAGATATTATTATACTATTTCTGATGAGTAAAGGAAGAAAAACGTGAGGCGAGATCCCTAGATGGGATAGACAGCACACGATAGTGGGAAACAGCTAAAATCTAATTATTGATGGCAATCTAGTCTGTGACAACCCAGCGTCTTCCCTCTCCTTTAAGTAGATAATAAAGATGGGTACTTGCTGAAGTTCGGTGAGGTCTGGCAGAATGGGCCCACAGGAGTTGTATAGGTGCCCAGGATTCCATGCCCCACCTCCTCCCATGCCCTGCTTCCTCCTCTGAGCGGACACCTGCAGGAAGAGGTGAGGTGAAGAATCCAGAGTGCCTGCACAACACCTGTAGGCCGAATCTGCTGAACCATAGCTGAACTATGGTAAGTGTCCATCACCAGTAGATACTATGATCCTGAAACACAGTCTTGTTGAAACAGGAGTGAGGTAGAAATTTAGATTTCTAAATTTCAGAAAACAAAGGCTTAAAATACTACAGTAGGTATGTTACAAATAGCACAATACAGAAATAGAGGACTCCAGAGTCAGATTCAGCTAGATAGAAGTCTTCTGTCACTGAACTTTAGTTTCGTGAATTACTGTCAAGAGAAGCAAAAATCTTAAGGATTGGTGAACAGAAGCAACAAAGAAACTGCAGTTTACTTCTCTCTTGCAATCAATTTAGTCAACCAATAAACAAAGCGAAATGCTCTTTCAGATTTGTAAATAACTAACAAGGTTATGCTCAAAATCCTACAAGGTAGTCTTCAGCAGTATGTGGACCGAGAACTTCCAGAAGTACAAGCTGGATTTCAAAGGGGCAGAGGAACTCGAGACCAACTTGCTAACATGCGCTGGATTATGGAGAAAGCCAGAGAGTTCCAGAAAAACATCTACTTCTGCTTCATTGATGACGCAAAAGCCTTTGACTGTGTGGACCACAGCAAACTATGGCAAGTTCTTAAACAAATGGGAGTGCCTGACCACCTTATCTCCTGAGAAATCTATATGTGGGACAGGAAGCAACAGCTAGAACTGGATATGGAACAACTGATTGGTTCAAAATTGGGAAAGGACGACAAGACTGTATATCGTCTCCCTGCTTATTTAACTTCTATGCAGAATACATTATGCGAAAAGCTGGACTGGATGAATCCCTAGCCAGAATTAAGATTGCCAGAAGAAATATCAAGAACCTCAGATACGCAGATGATACCACTCTGATGGCAAAAAGGGAGGAAGAATTAAAGAACCTCTTAATGAGGGTGAAAAGGAGAGTACAAAAAATGGTCTGAAGCTCAATGTCAAAAAAACAACAACAACTAAGATGATGGCCACTGGCCCCATTGCCTCCTGGAAAATAGAAGGGGAAGATATGGAGGCAGTGACAGATTTTACTTTCTCCATGATTACTGCAGATGGTGACAGCAGCCACAAAATTAAAAGACACCTGCTTCTTGGGAGGAAAGTGATGACAAACCTAGACAGCATCTTAAAAAGCAGAGACATCACCTTGCCGACAAAGGTCCGCATAGTAAAATCTATGGTTTTTCCAGTAGTGATGTAGGAAAGTGAGAGCTGCACCATAAAGAAGGCTGGCTGCTGAGGAATTGATGCTTTTGAATTATGGTACTGGAGGAGACTCTTGAGCGTCCCCTGGACTGCAAGGAGAACAAAGCTATCTATTTTGAAGGAAATCAACCCTGAGTGCTCACTAGAAGGACAGATCCTGAAGCTGAGGCTCTAGTACTTTGGCTATCTCATGAGAAGACTCCCTGGAAAAGACCCTGATATTGGGAAAGTGTGACAGCAAGAGGAGAAGGGGATGACAGAGGACGAGATGGTTACAGTGTCATCGAAGCAACCAACATGAATTTGACCAAACTCCTGGAGGCAGTGGAAGACACGAGGGCCTGGCGTGCTCTGATCCATGGGGTCAGGAAGAGTCGGACACAACTTAACAACTAAACAACAATAGAACACACACTTTCAGAAAAGACACATACAATGTGGAAAATGTTTCTAAGTATGAGAATCAAAAACATATTTTCTATGTCTATGCCAATAGTACTTTTCTGAAGATGTATACATTCTAAAAATCCCCAGTTTTTCTCAAGCGACCTCGTAAAGGTTTCTTTAAATAGATGCATCTGCCTTCAAAAGAAGGTTATTAGAAGGATCATTGTGATACGAGGGCTGACAAACATGCTTCAAAGTCTCCAGCAAAACATGTCCTTAATTTAGGTCACTGAATAAATATTACTTGTGCAATTAAGACTGATTCAAAAGATTCGACAATGTCTTTAAGGAATTCATACAACAGCACAAGTTTTTATAATAGATGAGCTGCATGATATTCATTAGTACATAAGCAGAAAATATACAACCTCCAAACATGGACTGCTATGTACTGTACTTATATGTACAGTAATTATATTCACAAGCATTAATAGAATTCACTCTATTCATGTCAAGAACACTTTTTAGAGTGAAGGAGACATAATGACATTACAAAAGCTACAGTGGAATAATATGGCAGATTGGGATCACTGACAAACACCTAGACTGAATACTGTCCAATATTTTATTTGTGCAGAGGAATTTACCTTAGTTTTAGGGGCAGTTCCTCCTGCTTTGGCCTTTTTGGCATCTACCTTGGTCTCCACAGTGCTAGACGAAGACTCTTCACCAAAACCTTAGCAGTAAAAGATGAAACACCAGGAGATATAAACTACCCAATAAAGTTGGAATCAAATCAACATGAAACAAGTGCCTGACAGTCAAGGGATCTTTTGGCTTACATTAATCAAACAGTTCCTCCTACTTTTACACTGTGTACTGCTTTTGTAATCAAGGAGACTTTCAGAAGTAATTTGTAATATGGAAAGAAAAGGCAATCAGCTAAAAAACAAACCATCAATTCAATCTGAAACATTCAAATGCTTGAGTATAATCAAAGTAACTCTTTGTATTCAACATATTTTTTCTTTAAGAAAACATTATCTGCCAGATAATATAACCCATTTAAAGCACACATACTCCAAAATCTTGAGTCTTACAGAAAAGTTATACCAAGAGTGCTTTCCATTATATAAGTAAGATTGAAATGACCCACCTTTAATGCGTAATTATTTGTTGTAGATATTAATTTATAGGTATTAATGTTTTATAGGTATTAGTGATTATTATTTTTAGATATCAATTTTGTGGCTATTGATTTTAGTCTCTGTCTTTAGTTAGGGGCCTTAAGTCTTATTGTCTAGGGACATTTTTCTGTACTTGGGAAATTAAGAGGGCTTTTCTTGGGGGAGGGAAGGCTGACCTGGCACGTATAACAGAGACCTGGGTGGGCACTGAGGGACGGTTAAACCCTCTCCCATATTTGTCTCCCAGGTTATTCCAGCCAACATCAGGGCAGACCAGAGCTCTGGGGAGGGGAAGTTGTTACTGTGTTTAAGATTCTGTCAAGGTCAGCAGGATTGCTGCCTTGGCCTGTCTTGTATTAGAGCACCTCCATCTGTCTATAGACCACTCAGATAGATTGGGATTGGTACTTGTGTACCATTCTCCATGTGACCTTCTGAGGCTGACTTTGTTCCCACTGCGCTGTTGTGGTCCCCTATGCTTGTACTCCTGAGGGACTTCAACATATATGTTGAAGAACTGGTTGTCAGTTTGGGCTTGGGCTTCATGAAAACCATGACATCCATTGGACTGTTCCAACAGGTAAATGGCCCCACACATGTGGTGGGCAATACACTCAACCTGGTATTCTTGGCTGGGCAAGGTGATGAAGATCTGAAGGTGACTATGTTCACTCCTCGTCATGGTCAGATTAGTTCATACAATAATCTGGGTTCTCAATAGCAACCTCTCCCTTCATAAAGAGATGGGACCCAGTAGGATGGGTCCACCCATGGAGTCTATTGGATCCAACTGGATTCTGAAATGCCTTGGATGAGGTAGATGAGTTGCAAGCCAGGAAGCAAATGAGACAGCTGGAAAGCATCTGGTAATAAGCTCTTAGAATCTGCCAAGCAGGTAACAGTTGAATGGGCCACCCAGATAATAAATTCCTCTTTGCAGGAGAGGTATTTGCCCTGCTGCCTGAAGGAGACAATGGTTCAATCTGTTCTTTGAAAGGCCAATATGGAGACAGATGGTTTAAGTAACTATTGCCCAGTTGGGTGGCAGATAAATTGCAGGCATTCCCAGAGGTCATCAATAATCTTGATCCATTTCAACTGGGGCTCAGGCTGTGCCATGGGACTGAGACTCTTTTGGTCACTCTGTTCAATGACCTGTTATGAGAGGCCAACTGAGAGAGTGTGACCCTGTTGGCTCTCCTGGATCTTTCAGCAGCCTTCGATACCATCGACCACGGTATCCTCCTGGACCAATGCTGTACTCCTGGGAGTATGGCACTGTGCTGGCTCCGGTTCCTTCTCAACAACTGGCATCAGGTGGCTCAATCATCTCCCCAATGTTGTTCAACATGAGGCCACTGAAGGAGGTCACCTGGAAATTTGGAGTGTGTTGCCATCAGAATGCTGATGACACACAACTCTATTTCTCCTTTTCACCTTCAACAAGAGAAGTTGTGCAGACCCTGCCTGGCCTAGGTAATGGATTGGGCGAAGGCTAATAGGCTGAAGTTGAATCCTAAGAAGATGAAGATCCTGTTGTTAGGAGATAATCCTGATCAATCAGAATGGCTTCTGCCTGCTATGGATGGGGGTCACATCCCCTGAAGGATCAGGTTCACAATCTAGGTGAGCTTGTGGACCCAGCCCTTTCAAAGGAAAATCAGATCCCCGCTGTAGCCATGTCTGCTTTTCTTCAACTTAGGCAGATCGCACATCTTCACTCCTATCTGAACAGGAAATCCCTAACAATACAGTTCACATGCTGGCAGTCTCAAAGATTGATTATTGCAATGTTCTCTATGGTGGCTACCCTTGAAGGCCATTCTGAAGCTGGAGCAGGTGCAAAAAGCAGTGGCCAGAATTATATCAGGGACATCTAAGTATGAACATATTTTCCCTATCCTGGCCAGTCTGCTGGTATGCTTCTGGACCACGTTCAAGGTGTTAATGCTGACATACAAACCCTGAAGAGTTGAGGACCTTGCTATCTAGTAGAGCACCTTTCCCTCAGATCTATCATCCATCCTACCAATCCTTCATGTTGCAGGTGGCCACTTCAAGGGAGGCATGGAAGTCTACAACTAGGGACTTAGCCTTCTCAGTGGTGGCCACCTCTTTGTGGAATTCACTACCACTGGAGGTGCATCTGGGCCCCCACCCTCCTAGTATTCAGAAGACAAATAAAAACATGGCTTTTTGCCAGGCCTTTAACAATTTGCTTCCCATTTATTTATTTGATAGTTAATTATTTTATTGCTTAAACTGATATTATAGACATCATCTTGAGACTTGGGTTCATTTGAGACACAAGGGATTATAGGGATGAGATGTTTCTTTTCTTTGATGTTTTATTGTATGCATCTTTCTGTTGTAAGCTGCCCAGAATAGTTACTTGCCACTAGATGGGTGAGGTAGAAGTTTAATTAATAATAATAATATAATTAATACATGCAAAGAACATGCTCTTGACTAGCTGACCCTAACAGAAGTCATGCATACATCTAAATCTGTACAGTTCCTCTATACAGCTCATACCTGGGACATGACACCAGAGAAAGTAACCTGGAAGTTTTCCCAATTTTACCATATACTACAGACAAACATAGAGGGCAAAATCCAGTTGCATAACTTTGTGGCTGGCATAATTTCGATCAGACACTGGCAATGTTTAATTTACAATAATTATAAGTCATATCCACCTGCTTTCGGTTCCAAGGCTCCCTTTGGCTATCTTTTGCTCTGGGAAAGCCTTTGGGAGCCTTGGGAGAAGGAAAGGGGTGAAGCCTTTAAAAATTGAAAAATCATCAGTGGATCACTGTCACCAGCGATTCTAGTAGCAATTTTTGAATGTTAAAAACTACCCTCCCCCCACAATTCTCAAGGCTCCCCTAGGGCAAAAGGGAGCCTGGGAGAGCCTCAGAACATGAAACAAGGAAATAGAAAGCTTTCAAGTAGTGTACATTAAACGTTTCCAGTGTTCTATGTTTGTTGTGCCAGTAACACAACAGGATTTTGCCAAATACGTTAGGACAAAACCATTTCTAATTTATCACATCTGAAAAAGTTCTGGTATTAAGTCCCACTTGCTTTGCTACAGAAAGTTAGTCTACTGTAGTAACTCAAAATACCTCAGTTGGCTCTTATGGTTTATACTCCCATGAGTTCTTCAGTGCCTCCATTTTTAACTATTGACAGTTCTGATATATAAATAGTTATGTTCACAGTGGAACTTCACTCCTGCTGAAAATCTGGCCTCTCTCAAATGAGACAGGTTAGCAGGATCAAGATTACCTGATGCAGACTGTGATTTGGCTGGAGCTGCTCCTATTGATCTGGAAGATGTCTTGTTAGGTGGCGCAGGTTTGGCAGGCATATTGGCTTTGGCTTTTTCAAGCATGGCCAGTACTTGGTCTTTGGAAGCTGGCTAGAGAATAAAAATAAGTGCCTGAAGAAACCTATGTTACAGTTCACTTAAAATACTAAATAGGAGCATAATACATTTCTTCAGGTTTACAAGCCACTGCATGGAAAATAGTATTTTTTCTTAAGGTAAAGGTAAAGGTTCCCCTTGACAATTTTTGTCCAGTCGTGTTCGACTCTAGGGGGCGGTGCTCATCCCCGTTTCCAAGCCATGGAGCCAGCGTTTTGTCCGAAGACAATCTTCTGTGGTCACATGGCCAGTGCGACTTAGACACGGAACGCTGTTACCTTCCCACCGAGGTGGTCCCTATTTATCTACTTGCATTTGCATGCTTTCGAACCGCTAGGTTGGCGGGAGCTGGGACAAGCGACGGGCGCTCACTCCGTCGCGTGGATTCGATCTTACGACTGCTGGTCTTCTGACCCTGCAGCACAGGCTTCTGCGGTTTAGCCCGCAGCACCACCACGTCCCTCTTAATGGAATGGAAAAGAAAGGAAATTCATGTTTGGAGTACCAATTGCAGCATAAATTTAAAAAAAAGGGGGGGGTTCTGGGAAAGGAAAGGAAACTTACTTTTGGAGTACTAACTGCAATAGAAACCTATTTTACTTGATGTACCAAAGTTTCTTTACACAGTCCTTAATAAAAAAAACTAGAAATCATAATTGTTCAACTTAGCAAAAGGTCACTCATGATATTACTTTCATGTACACACTCACAACCCATCTGTACTAAGCTACGGTAACTACTTGGCACACTCTAAAGAAATGCTATGAGCGTTTGCTATACCTTCAGCTTGCCAGTGGCTTTGGCCATCTTCTCAAATCCCAGGTGCATCATGAAGAAAGGCAATACATCTTGTGCCTTTTTACGGACATCTCCATTTCGATCCTCCAAGCAAGAGTACAGGTGAGGCACACATAAAGCCAAGTCTGAGGGGACACTACGGAGAGTTGGCAACTTATCTGCCAGCCAACCTAAAAGCTGAAAGAAAGGAGAACTCCCTTAACCCTGTAGTAAACAATAATACCTTAGATATGGACTACGTTGTATGCCTAGAAATGCACTTAAATTAAAAAGTGAATCTAGTACATCATTGAGCAGCTTACTGGGGAAAGTTGCAGACTGTATTAGAAACTGATTCGTGAATACTAGTGACGTCAAGATTACAAAAAACATTTGTACAGATACACAAGTTTTCTACAATTCTATGATTATTACAAGGTAACCTTATCGCTATGTAACATTTCTCTAAATGTAATCCCTATTTGAATTACATGCATTCTTAAGGTAATAAGACATATTTATTTATTTATTTATTCATTCCATTTATACCCCGCCTATCTGGTCAATTTATCTTCCTATAAATCTAGAAGATACAGATTTATACCATGCAAGTTGTAAAGTGAGCATAATTATGGAAGACTAAACAAACATGAATTTGACACAACTCCGGGAGGCAGTGGAAGATAGAAGGGCCTGGCGTGCTCTGGTCCATGGGGTCACAAAGAGTCGGACACGACTAAACGACTAATCAACGACGTCGATGAAACAAACCATTATGAAGCTCGATTCTCAGTGCTGTTTTCTTCTTTGGCCTCCTTGGGTGTTGTAATTGTTAACATTAAGGACTTGCGGGGAGCATATGGGATGGGTAGCTATTTTGTAAGAGAGACATTCCACCAACTATCGAGGTCTTAAACCATTAAGGGCTTTAGAGGTTATGGCCAGCACCTTAAATTGAACACAGAAACTAACAAGGAGCCAATGAAGGTGTGCCAAGATTGGGAAAATGTGTTCATGTCTGCTAGTATCTAAAATCAGTCTGCTCACTGCGTTTTGTACCTACTGAAGTTTCCATACTGACTTCAAGGGCAGCTCCACATAGAAAGTGTTACAGTAGTTTATTTTAGAGATTACCAACATATGAACCACTATTGTTAGGTGTTTCTTATCAGGTAGGAGCACAGCTGGGAAAATCAACCAAAGTTTTAAAAAGGACTCTCAGCCACAGCAGATATTTGCACCACCACAGAAAGAGCTGGACAGAATGATGCTGATGAAGAAACCACACAACAACAAACATACATGGGATGAAACTATAAAAATACACACTAGCTGATACAGACCTACATTTCACAAACTGTTTCCTTTGCTTCTGAGCAAAGTACATCAGAATATTCCTTTTTTTTGCTAGGGCTACAACTGGAGCATGTTCCATGTGTACAGGATATTAGAGAAATAGCCTTAATGATATTATGGCCAAAATCCTACTAATTACACCTGTTGGTCTAACAGTACAGTACATGCGATACATACATGCATGTGTGTGCATGTATGTGTGTGAAATGCAGTAGCTTTACGCAGTTTCCCTTTATAAGGGATAAAAGCAAAACTCATTTACACAATGTAATTCTTACCTCTTGCCTTAGGAAAGGGTTCTCCTTCTTTAGCTCTTCAGACAAGTCTTCCCCTTCCAACCACTCTTTCATTCCTGTTTGTTCTGTCCAGGCATTGACAGTAGTTAAAGAAGCTGTCCGTACATTGTTCTGAGGTAGACACAAGATTTACATCTGATAATTCTCAAAAATAACTCAGAAGCCAAATGGGAAAAGTTCTTTGGGCTAGTTATACGAGCACATTTTGGTGCAGTACCTGCAAGGCAACTGCAGCATCCTCAATAGATGGCTACACAGCCTCAGCTTAAGCACCGCTAGTAACAAAGCGGTTACTACTTGATGAAGCAGAATGGTCCACTGTTAGAAAGCTCTTCATGTTCAGATGTTTGTCTTAACATTTCGATGAAATCTATTTTTTGGCCAATTTCACCCACTGGTGCAAGTGTTATTCTATTGTGCAACAGGGTAAGGTTAAGTTTGTTAAGCTGCTTTCTACATGGTAGGCACTGCAGGTCCACCCCTCAACCAATTCTCTACTCTACTTTATGATCCATTCAACCACTATGAATAAATCTTGGTTTCCAGACCCTTCAATATCTCAAAAACTGTTTTTAAAACTCAAAGTGTGTTTTTAAAAACCTATCAAAGCTTCTCTTTACATTTCAGTCTTTCCACTGAACAGCTTTCTGAAAGGCAGACCACCAGACTCTGCAATGTTCTTCTTTCTCAGGCAAATAGTAAATTATGGATAACACAGGAAACAAACACTTCCATTCTTAGGCTGAAACAACAAATATCCAATTCTACCTTACTGTCTCCAAGGATTGTGATGATAGCAATGCCCAGGTTTTTCACATGTTGCTTGATATTTGGGCCCATAGCAGTGGCCAGTTGCTGCAGAATACTCAGAGTTTGTTGCACCTGAATGGGAAAGGAAATGCACAACAATCAGCAGTTCCCTGGTTTTATATTCCTTAAAAAGCGAAGTGTGATGAATTTCATCTGTCTGCTGTAACTATTCAATCCGTTTTCAGAAGCACACAGCAGGTCCTGATTGGTACATATGTTGAATTTTCTGTGTTTCAAACCTACCATAAATATACAACAAGGGCCCTCTTGTGATTTATAACTGAAATGTTTTGTATTTATTTCATGTATTTTTGAAATCATTTCTCTATTCCAGTTTTCCAAACTGGAGGCCACAATCCTCAAGGGGATTGCAAAGTGTTTTGTGGAGGTCACTGTGGTTATTTTTAATTGCAATTATTTCTATATTTATTATATTAAATGTGGTATACACAATGCCTGAAGAATTGTGTTTGTTTGTTTTAAGCATCTCTTGCTAACCTCAGCTCATCCTTGGCTTTTGCCTTCCTAACACCATCCCTGCAATTCTTTGCTACTTTTCTGTATTCTTCCTTTCTAGCCTGGCCTTCCTTCCACTTCCTATATTTTTTTCAGGTACTCTTTGAGAAGTCACATTGGTTTTTTTACTTTCATCCACCTTTTTTCTTGTTGGAATAGAGTGTAGTTGTGACTTTAGGATTTCCTTTTTAAAGAAACTCCCACCCAGCTTGAATTTCTTTTCTTGTTAGGATCTCCTGCCATGGGACCTTTCTTATAATTGTTGTACATGTGCAGCTGCACTCCACCTCTGCTTCTTTTGAAATCAAGAACTCCTTTTGCAGGATGTCTGCCATATGATCAGTTGCTCAGTCAATCAGTTTTGGAACCAGTGTACTGGAGATACCTCACCAAAGGAAGGAAACCCCTTGTGCAACTATCATTTTGTATGCAGTTCCTATCAAGTGGATTCCGACACTTCTGTTTAAATCACAGGATCCTGCTCAAGCCTTTCATGACAAACAAGAGCACTATTAAATCTGCCAGCTGTACTTTTGAACATCTGCCACAAGGAGATTAACAAAGTCTGATTGTGCTCTTGTTTTGCTTTCTGTGGTATAGCACATTTCCTTTGCTTTAAAGGCAGCAGAGTAGATTCTCCAAAATATATACAGTATCTACAGTGGTATCACCTCTCCTATTTGTATAGAAAGGCTTCTCTCTCTCTCTCTCTCTCT